GCCTCATAAATTTATTATTGGCGGCTAAGAAAAAAAAATAAAGACGGGAAACGGAACGTCGACGAATGAATTGTCATCGGTCGCTCTTATATTAGAAAAAATAAAACACTTACGATAAACACAACGAAATTTATTTATGCATTAGAAGATATAAAAAGATTTAGTAGATTTTCTGTAATTTAAATTATTAATGTTGTTATAACTAACTTTTATTTATCCAAATAGCGATGTTACATATAGGGGTGTTGTGAATCTCTAAGTCCAATGTAATGAAATTTATAGTAAAACGAATATAGCACCTAATATCTAAACTATAAATCTATTCAGATGAAATTAAACCAAAATGGGCAAAATGGTCATCATGTCATTTACTCACAAATCGCAGTAACAGACGTGCAGCACATCAGGCATTCTAGATTCGTGGATTCAAATCAAATATTGCTTTAGAAACGTGTTTTTCGTACATCGGTATTTTTGACTAGCAAATAATAAATATAAATAAAAATTTTTAGGACACATTTTTCCACAACGTTCTCTAGTCCCACTTAAACATACTTTTACTTTATAAAAAAGTATGTTTTATACGTATATATATATATATATATATATATATATATATATATATATATATATATACATAAACACCCAGATACTGGAAAAATACTATGACGCAACATTTTTCCAGTAGCGGGGATCGAACCCACACCTTCTGGCGCCAGTAGCTATAGCCCGTTATATCTATTCTCCGACTTTGTCACCAACGAACCAGTATGCGATTATTTATTACTAGCTGCTGCCCGCGACTACGTCTGCGTAGAATGGGCTGAAGGCGTACCATTCAGACAGAAAGACAGATATACATAAAAATATGTATACAAATTATAGCCTATGTGTTATTCTGATGTATGAGCTATATTATTGTAAAGTTTCGTTAAAATCCATTCAGTAGTATTTGCGTGAAAGAGTAACAAATATACATACAAACTTTCGAATTTATAACATTAGTAAGGATTTAATGATTTATATTTCACAACTGTGTCGAAAGATGATGCACTGACGATCGACTTCATACTCAAGTCTACTTTATGATACCTACCCCAAAGAAGGCTTAGGTAAAAAATGGCTTTCGACTCGTTCTCTCGACTGAGCTTTGTTCGAAAAGTTCTCCAACCTTCGCCCTTAAAGCGAAAAATTTTTTTTCGACAAATGAGAATTTAATGACGTCTTGAGGACTCAAAAACTATGTCGATGTTTTTGTATTGAAATGCCAGCCACTTAGTAATGAAGTCATTACTAATAGGGTGGACTAATCCAGGTTATATTGCATGTATGTCTGTTTACAAGAATAGTGAAAAACAGCCTGTCATATTTGCCAGCTTTTTTGTTTACCCACCTGTTTAATAAATAAGTTTTAAAGCAATGAATAACAAATATGTTCAGAATGTCAAGTAAGTCATGGAATCGGTGTATTTTCTTCAGTTCGTAGATTGCGTGGTCAAACTTCTAAACCATTTAGATGTCCGAAAGAAAGGCTTTGTTGAAACCTATACATAGTTTAAAGAAATAACTACGACAAATAATGTTTTTTTTAAAGATTGTACAACCGACGCCAGGATAGGATCCTAATATACGTATGTGCATAATTAATACGCTTATATCTCCCACACGTCGTTATTCAATAACTTCGGAGCCAAATGGATGCGCCAAGGCTGCAGTTTTTCTATTTATGCCGCCAGATGTTTGTTTAGTCATTACCTGTATCTTTTTGTCCACTCCATTGAGTTTACGATTTCGCTTATGCAAAAAGATTTGGCATTTTATTTACACCATAATGCATTCCAAAAATTTCTGCAGCGCAAGATATTTATAAATAAAACGAGATAAATTCGCGAGACATTTTTAAATTGTTTTGTAATAACTAAACAAGATTTTTAACTAACTGGCTCGCATATACTACATTATTTTTAACAAATCTGTAGATTAGACTTGTAACTTTTTTTATACCTGTAAAATTAGAAACATGAAGATTAAAAAGTAAACATCGAAGATTTTAGAAGTCGATTCTAACACTGCTCGTTACAAAATGACTTAATTAGCAAGTATTTGAAATCTATAACACCACGTAATAACGTATGCTTAGAAGATTGTTAAACAATTACATTTCTTTTTAAGTAAGCTGAGGCTTTAATTTAGCGCATGCAATCTGTTTGTGTATAGTTTGGTTTCTAGCAATCGCAAATCTCAAGAGCACACGGAGAAATAAACAAATTCAAAGTATATTCATGTAAGCGGTCCTTTTAGAAAAAAAAAGGGTCAATTTTATCGCGCCAACGAAATGTTTGGACGATTCCTTTTATTTAATACTACGACTTAATGCCGCCCACTGGCCGCTTCTAACAAGCCTACTGAACCGCAATACTAGCCCCAATGCTAATACAACGCCCACGATGAAAGTAAAAGCTAAGAAATTGAATTAATCGCAAGACACAATGCCGCCGTCTTACACCAAAAAAACGAATACGCACAAGTGTACAAGTCACTTTCGTTCTCGGCAAAACAGTGGAATTGAATAAAGAATAACGTTTGAAACAGACTTCTGTATCGTTTGAATTACATAGAAAAATCAGTAATTAAGTTATGAATAATAGCAGAATAGGTGGGTGTTCGTTATATTATAAATTAAAAAATTCACTGAGAGTTTACTGAAAAATGGGTACATGTAACACCTATTACAGAATAAACTTAAAAACTCGGAGGCAGTCATCTAATAAACTTAACGGTGTACATGATTTCGTGGACTTTGCGAACACTACGTCATTTTTTCTTACACAAGCTAATGAGGTAGGCAGACTACCACAACAAAATTATACACTCCGTGTAATCGAGCCCGCCATCGACATAGCTATAAGCACTATTCCACGAAGGTTATGTGTCTTATCTCAGATCAAAGCAAATGAACTACATCTGTATGTATTAAATTAGTTTTTCGCCAGCGATGCTCGATTATTTTAACGTTCGCGAAGTAATCGGCCTAGCCAGAAACAAAATCAAAATCAAAAATATATTTATTCACATAGACGCTTGCGCGTTCTAATGTAATGTCAAAAATTTTATATAAAAATTAATATGTTCGTAAGTTACCACAAATACATAAGTATTCTTAATTTTTAGGCTCACGTAGCGTGAACCGTTCGTCGAAAGTGGGATATCGTAATCGAATTACGCATTTAAACGGGTTCCATTCCATATAATTGTCCGCGAGTAATAACTGCTTGTATTGATTACGGCGCGCTCGATCACTTACGAGTACGCATGTAAATAGTTAATTTGGTAACAATCGTAAAAAAATTTGCAACACGACTTTGACAGACATAAATTAAAAACAAACTCAAAAATCATATATAGGATAGAGTACTCGTGTGTCTATTTTAATAATAGAAGCCGAGACAAGCTAAGCTGTAATTTTTAAGTGGCCGTGACTAACAGCACTTCTATTTATCCATTAGCTAGGTATAGCTATAATCAAAGCTATTGTAAAGACACACCTGTATGACGTTATAGCATATGAAAAAAGGTCAAACTGGTAAAGTATACCATAAAAATGTTAATGTCAGTGTCAAAAAAGATAAACGGCACTTGTGGCTTGCCAAAGGTCAATAATAAGATAGCTTGCTATGATTTCATCGCCTATTATGTATGATCAAACTAAATCTGAAGTGAAGAAATCTGAACAACTTGTTGAATATTTATTAATAAGTTATGATTAAGCTTTTGAAACACCCGGCACTTTGATGTTGTTTAACGGTGAGTCATTTCATTGGTAATTTTGTGTAAAGATAACAACAGGTTAACAAATGATCACACTCACATAAATACCCATCGTAGACTATCTTATAATAAAATCGAACCTCGTGCAAAAATATATACATATACGAAGTAAATCGTGAAATATTTATAAAATAAACCCAGCCTGAGCCAATGAATTTAAAAATAAATTGACTAGGTTTATTAGATAATATGTAATTTTATATAGATTTAATCTTGTAAATATTTGGCAAATAAATATTATTAAATTAAAAAAATACTATATATATATCAATGTACATGTAAGAGACAATGTCAAATGCGCAGGCGGTTCAACTGATATTATGGCATCGATTGGGAATCGGCATGATTATTAGGAATCTTTACCTTATTAAAATGCCCATTTAAACTTGGAAATAATTAATATTACTTGGATCCAAACAAACTATGGAAGGTTAACTTAAACTTGGAAATAATTAATATTACTTGGATCCAAACAAACTATGGAAGGTTAAGATAGATATAGGTTAGAGAGCGTGAATAATACCAGTGGAGTTATCAACGTTTAAGAGTTTGAGTCCCTGTAACCCATTTACTTGTTTAGCATTACCTTCATTAAAAATCAGGCAGAAAAACAAAATTAAGTAGCACTGCTTTTACTTCCGAGCTGGCATTCAGCGAATCCGATTCCCCTCGTCCGAGTCTGCCCACTCCTGCAACGTAAAAAGCGCTGCGTGGCTTTGCCACTGCGATACATAAATTGAATCAGTTGTATTTTTCGAACAAATACCAACGATGGAAAAGTTCTTAATTCTTTCGTTGTAAATGCTTCGTGGTATTTGCTATCCGTAAATGTTTAAAATAAATTTATACTATTTAGCTTAAAAAAAGTGTTGTTTGGTTATTCGATAAAGTTAATGAAACCATGAATATTTTATTACATTTATTACAAGTAGCTTTAGATAAAATTAAATTTTTTATTTTTCTTTCCATCCATATAACAGTGCGCATAAAATATAATAAATAAACATGTACTTTAAATCGATTATATTTATATAATATATTATGTATATTACTTTTTTACTTTACATATTGCGGTGAATTATTTCTAGAATTAAAACTTTCAACTGCAGGTTTCCTAAACGTCTTTCACCGATGATTGCATTGTAGTTGTGGGCTAAAGAGATCTTGATCTAAATTTGGAGCAACAATGCCACTCCGGCTAGGGTCCATTTTGCAGGCTTATCCTTTGTCTTCAAGTTGAAAGTCCAAACGTAAGTAGGGCCGCGGGTGCGAGTCTTGTATACGGGACACTCGTACATGTTCCGAAGATCTTGCTTGTCCTGCGTTATTGCCTGTGAGTTAGAAAAAAATGGCGGCATAAGCGAAACGATAGTTTTTTCTTCCCTTCTTTTCACTTTTCCGTGACTATTTTTTATTTATATTTATTTCCTTACCGATTTAGAACGGGATCTTTTGTGTGAAACATTACAAAATTTACAAATAATTCAACATAAAATAGTTCAACAGCATAACACTGTAATATTTGTACAGCCTATGAAAAGTTTGAAAAAGGTTTGCAGAAAATATTTCATTAATTATAATTACAATTCAGTATACTTAATCTATAAAAAAAATAATGTTTCAAACTTTAACGGTCTTAAGCTAGAGTTGTTTTATTTGTGACTTTCCATTTCATGTTTATCTAGAGTCAAAAGCATAACTATTTACTTTCTATTGTTATCTACAAGTCTGAAAAAGATGTCTTGTCCTATAAACTACAAATATGTAAATAATACATATATAACTATTGTTGGAGGTGTTTAATAATAAATAAATAATTTTATATATTATGCAATATATTTCTATATGTTTATTTGTATGTATAAACGCAACCAGACGAGAAGCAAATAAATATCCCCATAATAAATAAAAGTGATCACGGTTATCAAACGCATGTTACATTCTTAACTTAACATTACATTTAACTGTAGTCGGGCTGGAACAGATTCTGTTGCACGAATGATCAGGCTCGTCCAAGGACGACTTTTACGACGATTGATTCACAGAAGACCAGAATGAAATGAAAGTAGTACTTTCGCGTTTCGCTTAGTGAGTGAGGTAATGGGGCCCATTTTATTTAAAAAATTCACCGCATCTGCAAACCCTCGCGTTGTATACGTCGTCCATGGGCAACAATTGTCACTTAGCATCAGTCGAACCGTCCGCGCGCTTGACAACTTTACACATTAAAATATATATCACATAGATTATGCAAAATTTTGCTTAAACTAATATTAAACATATATAATACTACTATTCTGGCCAATTAAATTACTGAAATGTCAAAACTATTTATAGCTAATAAATAAAATTTAGAGGTCCGATTTAAAAAAATAACCTAAGTCAAATTTATGTATTAGATGAGAATACTTTATTGTTATCGGATTACGTAGTTTAATTTATAATAAATTGCGGTATTTATAATTTACAGATATCGGACCGTGGGTAGCCTTGACGTACGGTTAATGTTTACATGCACCGTTATATGGTTACAACGAATATTTTAAAATAGCTACAGGCTACAGCGTACATTGGCGTGGCTACAAAATTGAGAAAGATCACTAAATTCTGGTCTTTTGAAACCGCCGCTAAGGGCCGACCTTACCCGCAGGTGCAACTTATAAAAACGAGTTGTTTTAATATTTCAGCTAAAGATAACAAGGCTGGCTTAAACTTTCAGGGCTTTTTAAACTGTAATATTTATTGTATTATAATTATTGACATTTTTTTTTATTATAAAATTGTATGCCGATTTCAAGTCCAGTTGCTTATTATTCATATGTCATATATTACCAAATAACTGATGTTTTCGAAAATAAATGAAGAAATTCGAAGCTTTAATTTTGTTCCATCTTTATCGTTTGAAATCGAATATACCCGCATGATTAGCCCATTATTATTACTACTTACCCGGACATTGATGACAGGCATTGGTGGAAACAAGTCTTTGAGTCGAGAGTCCATAATGATGCCCGCTTGGACATCCCAACGGGCGCCTTCCATGAGCAAACCGTGAACATAGGCACCGTCCCGAGGGGCTGACCTGGAGTCAGCAATCCTGGAAAGAACGGGGTGGAGAGTTAACATACGATGGCGCCGATAACCTATGAAAGTTAACTTCAAAATCGGATCCGATCTTCATGTATCTAGGTATTCATGTAAGTTTTGGCTGCCACACAATATGACTGAATTACTTTTTTATATGTACATGATCTCGTGTTTTAAATTGTTACGAGGTTCGGACAGCAAGTGCCGCCCACTATTCAACAAGCTTGTACGTCCGTTGGTATAAACAGATTAATGCCTTGTAAATATTCCGAAAGACATATTGGAACAGAAAGTGGGTGAGGTTTTTCAATCATTTGCATACTTAAAAAAAACTAAAGTAATTTATGGTTTTGTAGTTCTTCTTTCTTTTTGAGTATACTTACGTGAACTCTTCTTTCATTTTCTTGGTGACGTCACACTGGAGACACATCTTGTCCAAAGGCAATTCGTAACGACGAGCCGTACTTTGCATAATCGCCGTTAACAAACTCTGCGGATTGAAGAAGCCAGCCAGCCAAACAGATACTGGGAGCTAAAAAATTAACATTTAAATAAATTTGATCATTAAATTAAAAATAAATAAATAAATAAATAAAACGTAAAATTGACATAGAAAAATAGACATACAACAAAGTCAGTGGCCCACGTTTCCAGTTCCCGAAGTCGCAATAGTAGATCAACAAACCATGCTGACAAACCAAGTAAGGATGGATATGCCTTATTAGCCCAAATTGCTGGTACCTGGTGAAAGACATAAATAATGATGGAACCGAATAAGATACAGAATTAACGAATAAAACCTCCAACTTACTTGATCTAGGAATAGAGCATTTTCCAAGTCTTCCATATCAGAAGTTATTGTAAGTTCTCCCTGTAATAAACTTCAAATCTTAAAAGTTCAAAAAATTCACAGGAAGTGCGCTCAAATCATTGCTAAATATTTTTTAAAAATAATTAAATTTTATTTGTACCCGGGAAAAAAATTTCGTATTCTTAAAATGAAGAATGTTCGACGAGATAAAGAACAGACTAAAAAATTTTTTAAATTATAATATATATACAATTATTGGCCCACAACCTAATATTTACCTTGTTTTAATTATAGAAAACAAAAATAATTATTACATTACCTTTAGCCCTAAATCTAATTCCTTAAGCGATCTTTTCATTTCGCCTGTTAGGTTATTCATCCGCTCACATTCTTGGAAAGCAACAATAACGTAAGGCGTCCGTTCCTCCACTTTGCCCATTATTTCGACCATGTTAAACTCCTCTGGCAGCTTCTCCATTATTTCATCTAGCATTTGTTTAACCTAAAAAGAGGAAGCTAAATCCTACTGAAATATCTTTAAAGTGAAATAAAATAATAAATTTTCCTCCAAAAAAAATTTAAGACATAGGATCAAACAATATTATTAGAAAGAAGAAGAAAGGAAGAAAGAAAGAAATATTTATTCGGCGCATTACGTTATAGGAAAAAAAAAATAATAACATTAGAATTGTAAAAATGTATGCACCAAAAAGGTCTCCGCTCAGTATATAGCCCTGGCAGACAATACCACGGCACTGGTTTTCTGCGGATACCTTGTAAGATTGGCGTTCAGCTCCATGCATACAGCCAACAAAAATGACATTGAAATAGAATAAAAACAATAAAAAAGGAATATAAAAAGTTAAGAACAATAAAATCAAAAATAAAGTATAACAAAAAAAAATATTAACAAAAACTATAACATATCCTCGACACAATACGAGTAATATACCTATGAGATCTGAATTGACTGAGTGCAACTTTATATATAATATATGCAGACAGCGATATGATCGGTTTTACTCCGTCTTTTGCAAATGAAGTAGAAACTTTTTGTATTTTGCTTTAAAGATATGTAAAGACGAAGAGTTTCTAATAGGTGGTGAGATGTTATTCCAACACTTTGTGGCGGAGTATTTAAAGCTTCCACGGAAAGCCGCAGTACTAAAAATAGGGCATATAAGTCGGTCACAAAGTCGTGATTGGCGCTGTGTAAATTTTAACTTGCCATAGAGATATGATGGACTTTGTTTATTTATTACCCCGAAAATTAAGGAAGCAAAATGTAGTGCTCGCCTTGACTGCATATTCAACATGTCGCTTCGATTAAGGTATGGTGTTATATGAGACCGGCGTGGAATTGGAAAGCAAAAACGAGCACAGCAATTTTAAACTCGCTGAATATGTTTTTTGTACGCTCTAGTAAGCACCCAGCGATGACTGTATCTGCGTACTTAAATTTTGATAGTATTAGGGACTCGCAAAGATGGATCCGTAAGTCTATATCCAGGAATTGACGTATTTGGTACAGCAGCATTACACCCTTGTTCTCACTATCCGCGCTCGCTTTTAATTCCATATACTCTAGCAACCTGAGTTCGGTCCCTGGTGCCGGCACCAATGAAATTATTAATTTTAAGTGCAGAATTATCACGGCGTGAAGGAAAACATCGCGAGGAAACCTGCATATTTTCTAAATAATAACAGAAATAAATATTTCATATATAATACTCTCTATACAGAGGAGGCCTTTGCCCAGCAGTAGGACAGTTACTTTACTTTTATTTTAGTCTGCGTTTAGTAGTGTATATTTATGCCTTCGTCTGGATATTTAGTAGTACCTTATCTTCTCTTGTAACGGTGGTAGCGCCGGAAGCCTGCGCGTCTCTCGGTTGCATTTCGAATATAGTTCGGAATAAATTCTCCGAAGTGGTCGTCAGAAAACCTATCTCGGCGTTCGGGTGGAGGCCGTACAAATACGGCGATTCGGCGGGCATCGCGTCTTCGATGTATTGGTGGTAGCCAGAATAATCTGTATTAGGCGGAGCTGGAAATCCTGGTGCTAGTTGTAGCTCACCATCGACCTTGGTGAAAAATAAAAAATATTTGCAAAAAACATATGATTTGATATCATAAAAACTATTAATATCTATAACTTCATAAAACTTATTACGGTACCGTTCTTTGGGTAGGAAACTTACAAGGTCAGGTTGCATAAGTTCCTCTAAATAAGCGTTACAGAGGCGTCTATCCCAGTCATCAGTTATGTGACCACCATACATGATTTCACCAAATAAATATCTCAAATCTTCCCATGGAACTTTAGAATTTGCCTCCAAGTAGTTATATAAAACGAAGACACTTATGGTAAGATCGCCTGAAATTCATATTTTAAATGATTCCAATGCTTTAAGCCGAATATTTAAATTAACGTTGTTACATACCAACATTAAAAGGATAGATTTTATTCCAGCCTTGGGGCCCAAATTTCCTTCTTTCCGCCACTACAGCGTGGAAGTAGCATAGAGCAAATAATATGGCCTTGAATTCTGCTTCTTTACCACACATCTCTAGAGTCTCTTGGTTAAAATTGTCTAGAGCTTTATGGATGTTTGCCTTAAAAATATATGATGGTAATTAAAACTATTGTTTCAGATAGTTTATTGAACTACGAATTTAACAAATGAAAAAATTTCATTCGACTATCACATGAAATTTATCAAATAATAATATTATCCTACAATGTGTTCGATTTCGAATTAAATTTTAAAAACCATCCCTCGTTTCCCACGATATTTTGTTAATCAGAAACTAGACAGTGTCCTCTGATGGTATGAGCCAGTTATAGAGCAGTTATCGAGCGACAGGTTCACCATTTGTCAGATTTGTGGTATAAGTAAAATAAATTGTTCATAACAACCACCTGCATTCCTGTAGGGGGTTCATTGGTAATTTTTATGCTGGATTCCAGGATGCCCTGAGGGATAATGTGAGCGGCAGGCGTAGCGGCTGGTTCAGCAGACATAAACAAACGGAAATCGTCATGGCAACCCGAGGCAAAACTCTCCATTTTCTTCTCAAGACTTGGCAACCATTTCTTGACCAAATGGATATTCTGTAATGTTATATATATATGTTTGGCTAGAATATTCCTAAATATTCGAGCCAAATACATATTTTTAATGATATTTTAGGAAAATATATACCGTTCCTAAGTGTTTCATGCAGTAATTCGTCAATATAAATGAGAATTAATTGCAATTCATACATGTACTACATCAATTACAAGTATTACATCAATTTCATTACCTGTAACACAACCCAATGCCCCTTCTGGAGAGCCTCATCCATTGCTTGTTCGGCTACTACTTCCTGCCCTTGACCTAGTGATACGTTGTGGAAATTATTCCGATCGACAGAAAATCCCATAACCTTGCCTAGAGCCTCCACATCCTTCAATGGATTTACACCAGGCGAGAGGATAAAGAATATAGGCGTCGTTGGACTTGTTTCTTCGAAAGATTTACTGAACTCTACCGTTCTATTTTCGACATATTTTGTACCCATTCTTTCTTCAATATATGCTCTAAAATATAAAATTACTTAATAGCCAATATTCAAAACATTCAATACCTAATGAATTGCAATCAAAATTTTACTCACGCCACAGCGTAAGTCATTCTATCAGGTCGTAAAGCTCTAAGCATGCATAATCGTTGCAGAGCGGTCTTATTCTTCCATTCCTTGAAATTGCAAAAGTAAAATTAAATATAAAGTTAAATGTGAAAGCAAAAACAAAAATTTTTGGAGATAAATTGTATTAACTCCGAATAGAAACAAAACATAAGGATGGATTCTTAGTAAGTATTGTTTATATGTATATTTGTTACAATATTAATATATATACATATACAAATATAAATTAAAATAAAATATTACTTGTGGGAATTTTTCCCTTTCTGGACATTCCATTTCCACTATTTTCTTCCATCGTTTAGGCGATGTCTCTATATCCCGATCCAGATTCCTGAACTCATCCTTACTTGCGAGAGAACATATGCCACCCCAGCTTTGATTTGACAAAAAGTCTACTGGACTTGTTACATGGGGCTTAATTGGAAATCTCAGGAAAAAGTCTAAATCTGCAGGAGAAATTTCTTCGCTCATTAAGAGCACCTTGAAATAAAATCCAATATTTATGTCTTCATAAATAGTTCAGTCCCTAAATGGTTCGATATTCAATTTAAAGATAAAATCAGCACCTGAAAGGTCATTTGTGATGCAAATATTAACTTATCGCATTCAAATAAACCTCTGGAAGTATATTGGAAGACAGAATAGCTAATGCAATCTATGAGATTCTTAACACGTTGACTAACTTCTTCCGCTGGCTCCGCTCGAGAAATAGCTTTTTGGAATACAACACTGAAGGCCTAAATTCATAAATAGGAATTAGTATTTGAATTTTATAAAATCTTCCTACTTGTTAATAATACATTACCTTTAGAGAAAATTGGTAAATGGGATTTATAGTGTTCAAATCGTTAAGTATGAAATAAAGCAATGAAGCTCTTGCTGACGCAGGTCGGTAAAATTCACGAGCTTGGTCTATTTGATGCGATGTGACTTTAGCTTCTGTGACCTACAAGTTTACAAAATATTGTTTTGAACTAGTTATTTATAGCTAACAATGAAATATAACAAAAATTACATTAAAGTAATACCAACTTTCTTTTCTATATCAGCCGCCGTCTTTTTGGTGGTTTCCAAATTTTCAACTAAAGCCGTGTCACCCAAAATATTTTCCCCAGCTGAGGACAACCTAGAAAGTAAATCATCTTCAAGCTCTTTTAATTGAATTTTAAACTCGTTCTGTTGCTTAGTTAGTTCTGCCTTTAATTCCTCAAGGTCAGGTCTTTCAGCTTTGACCACTTCCGCTAATAGTTGATCTTCTAAGCCATCCCTTGTTACCGTAAAGTTTACCAATGTAGTTTGAGCTTGCATTTCTGGTTTATAATGAGGATTAGCTAGCTTAGTGTGAAGAATCAATCTAAAATTAGGACTATATTCAACCTCTTTATCTCCAATTTTTATGGCTCTGAAATTGTATAAAATTGAAATAAGAAATTTAAATAACAATTTTCATCAATAAAGATATAATGTAATTTTATCACTATAACATCGGTATAAATTTGTTTGGTAAATTGTTAGGAGTTATTAACAAATATTTACTTACCTTCCTTTTTTGATTAAGTTTCTACCTAGCAGTGGGTCTAAAACTGGATCCACCGTTTCTCCAATGTTTTCTAAAAGAACTGTCTCGCCTTTAATGATTCCTTTCTCTATTGTATCAAGGTACCCTTTTTGGCCAAGACGTATGACACACAACTTATCACCGTATTTTTGTTTAATCCACTTAACTCCTTGTAGCTGTATGAGAAATTTCATTAGTTTTGATATTGAATCACGTTCTTCTATCTATATCAAAGATGTTTAAACTCCGCAGAAATTAAAAAATATATGAATCACCTGAGGATCAATCATAAGTGGCCAGCGATCGGAGTTCGAAAGTATCGTAGCGTTTTCAGTGCTCATACGATCTGATGGCAGACCTTCATTCTGCCACATTGCTATTGTTGTATCGTCCGTTAGCATTGTAAGGGGGTCAAGGCCTTCTGTTATTGGAATTGGTGGCTAAAAATAATAACACAATATACAATATCTAACGTTTACGTTGATACGGAATTTTCAAATAAAAAAAAATAGCAGTGTTTTAGGTGAAGTTAAATCAAAAACTAAATGACTGTAATGTTCTCACCTCTAAAGTTTTTAAGAAGACGAGCCAATTTTTATGAAGCAAGTCAAGCCTGTACTGCTTAGTAAAACATCCAACATATGATATAAAAGCGCATACAAGGAGTACATCTCCCGGTAACGTTGTACTCTGCTGCATGAAACTACGAAGAAATAACCATTAATTTTTGATATTAAACAAAGGTAAAAAATGTAATTATAACATATGTAACCAAAATTATTTGTTTTCTGGATATACAAACTTTGATACTGCCTCAGCCCAACGAACATTTTCACTAGCAAGTCCGTTTACTAATCTGTTGGCTAGTTGAATTGTTCTGTTCGTAGCATCGGCCTCTTGTTGGCACTTAAGTTTCTCCAATGTTGCTTTTTCGAAGTCTGCTGTTAGAGTGGCTAATTGTTCTTCCAAAGACTAAAATATTACACAAATTTAAACAAAACATAAGAACTGTTTAATGTCTAAATAAAAAAGGACCGAAGTACTGACAATAAACCTACGAATGTTAAACTTTCTAACACATTTATATGAACACTACATTAGTATATCGATACTAATGAATACGTCTATGTGGTAAAGAAAAGTTTATATAAAATGCACTCACCGCAACTTTAGATTTAATTGATTTTAATTTTTCGGTGGCAGCTGCCAACTCCGCATTAGCCGCTGCTAAAGCTTTACGTTTGGGTTCCACGTCGCAGAATACCTCATAAAACTTAATGATATTAATAACCCAAGCACATAGTCCAGCGGCGGCTGCTGATTTAGATCGTACAAACTCTGTAAATATATAAATAATGTAAATTTTATTTAATCTTAAAAATCAATAACAAAAACATTACTGATCTGGTACTTACCAGGTTCAAACTCAGAATCCTTCAGATAAGGCTGGATTGCCTTAATTACATCTGGATGTATATTTTCCTTATCATAATGAACAAGAGACTCCAAGAACACATCCACTTTAGCCATCATCATCTAAAATAAAATCACTGTCAGTAAATTGTTGATCCTAATAACATATTTTAATTGAATACTTTACCTTAGCAGATTTCCAACTTCGGTCTTTAGGAATTTTGCCTCCAGGGGCAAGTAATACCATAACAGCGGCGGTAACATTTGTCACCGCACCGGGGGGTGATCCGAATGACTTAAGCTCGGTAAGATTGGCTTTATTTAAAGTGTTCAAAGCCTCTTGAGCAGCAACGAGGGCGGGTTCTGCTTTAATTAAATCTTCCTCGCAGTCTTTTTGCTTTTTAGAAACCTCTTCTGCTATTACTGCCACTTTTTCTTCTTCCTCGTCAGCTTTAATTGCATATTATAGAAGAGTTAATTTTACAGTAAATTTAAGACACAACTCTTTACAAATAATATGAAAAAAAAATTATACATTACCGAGAGCTTTCTCGCTTTGAACTTTTGCAGTTTCAACGCCCACCATTTCTATTAGCTTATCAGCAGCTTCGTTCTTTTGTTGCAACTCGATTTCTTGGATTGCTAGTTTGGCTTTTAGCTCATCTACCTGACACGCCGTACTACGCAACTTTTCCAAACCATTCTCTAACCTATTCACAAGGAACATAAATGATTTAACTATACATTTTTAATGCAAACAATATTTGCAACACCAACCTGGAAATTTTTGCTTGAAGTTCATCTGTTTTTTGATTGACTAGTTTGGCATATAAACTGATTTGTTCTAAATAACTTTTTGGTGTAGTATAGTTATATCTTCTTTCATTTGCTAAGTAAGCCTTTGAAATAGAGTTTACTGAAGTGTGAACGTATGCCATAAATCTGGACACAGAATCTCGCAACGTAATCTAAAAAATCACGCATTGCACAAACTTAATATTATTTCTATTGTAATATAAATAGTTTACTAATCTTGTTCACTGACCGGTAATACATGAAGTCCTTCTAAAAATTTCATAGACACAGATACTAAAGCCTCTTGAGGCCATTCATGAAACCAGTTTATTGAAGTACAATTAATCAAAGCTGGAAATTTCCTTGATCTTACTCTCAACGTTGAACCGACGGGCGAGAAACATAATACAACTTTTAACTGCTTTCTAACTCTGTCTATAAAAAACTTCCAACAAATTTCTCGGGTATCGGGTAAACCCGCTCCTTTAACCTAAACACGAAAAATACTGTTCTTTGAAAATTTGTATTAAACTATTATAAATAACTAACACACGTAGATTATGTAATAATAAATATATTATAATAGTATTAAGGTCATATGCTTATCCGGGAAAGTATTTTTAGTCTTGTAAAGGACGACTTGGAAGTATTATGTGAGTGACGTAAAACTCTTTTTGATTTTGATTTGATTTACGGGCGTTGCAGGTGTCCATGGGCGGCGGTTATCACTTAATATTAGTTGAACAACTAGCTCGCTTGACATCTTCTCAAATAAAAAATACTATTGTTTATGATATATTACTTTTACTGTACTTATAATAATTTTGTACATACCTCATTTCTCACTCCACCAATTATATTCTCTATTTCATCATCTGGGAATAGATCAGCAACTTCTCCTGATGCTAATAAATCGTTAATCAGAACCAGAAACTGCTCGTTTGCTACTTGGGCGTCTGTCATAAGAAACATTATACCTACGTTCTTCAAACCAGTCTTTATATACAAACCCGATAACTCATGCTGTAACAATGTAGGATGTGGATGCATATAGAAAGGTACGTAATTACATTCATGATATTCAAAGGTACTAATTGTGGTCTTTGGACTAACATAGCTGCTGGTTAACTACGTAACTTCACCAGTCTCTCTGAGAAGTCGATTTCCAAATGTTCAATATTTTTTCAAATGCATTAAATAGAAAATTATAATATTTGAGATACAATAAACACCTTAAGGTCAGAAATTCCATATCCTTTCTTTAATTGTATTTGCAGAACTTCCAAGCTCGATATGAAAGCAGCAAGACGAGAAAGCGATTGTTTACCAGATCCTCCAACACCAACCAATAAGGCACTGCCCCGTGGACTTTCGAGGATCCGGCTAATCCTAAAAACGAAAATTTTAAAATGTTGCTATTGTTTTTGTTTTAATCGACATCTTAATCACAATGCTAGTCATTCAAAGTTAATTTGGGTCACATCAAAGTTTTTACCTGCATATATGCATCATAGCGTCTTCGAACAACACAAGATTCATGGCGGCAATGAGGTCGTTGTAACTAGCCATCGCTTCCGTCAACAATTTGTTAAGCTGGTCCCATGAGGAAATAGGCATATATTTAGGCTCGCCGATACCACCAGCGAAGTGACAGTAAATATTGGGGCGTTCAAACACGACACCTTCGTCTATGTCCTGTTCATAAAATTTTAAATACGTAAATACTTATACATTTGACATTACAGCTTTTATTTTTGGTTTAATCGGCCATTTCCGCTTATTCCATTACTGTTAACATTCACGTACCTCAAAGTTTTTCTTGCATATATCAACTTGCATTTTCAAGAAGGCATCAATATCTTTGTCTTCAGTCAGTTTATCACCGTAGACTCTGTGAGTCTCATGTAACCATAAGCGAATTAAATCTGAAGGATTTACCAAGCACTCATTTGTACTAAATAGAAATCCCTATAAAACATTCATCAATTAACTTCACATATTATATTTAAGTAGTAACGTTATAGGGATTACAGTATAATACCTGAAATATGTTCGATAAATCTCTTAAATTAAAAATGTAATGAAACTTGATCGCAGTCGGCAAGAATACTTGCGATACTTTATTATGTAATGCTATTGCAGCAGTGACAACATTAGCTGAAAATAAAAATATATCTCTTACGGTATGAGAAAAATTATAGCAGCATATTGCGGATAGCCCACCTGACTAAAAATATGTCGCAATTTAATACTACTTACATGATAACTTAGCCAGTTGGCCGCTAATTCTTAGCTCAGGATTAACCAAATGCTGACACAGAATAGAATGGTAAATATTATTCAAAGCCTCTGTATTAGGAAAACTTATCGCGAACACACAAAAGTGCCTCTGTAACCTGGGGTTAATTGTGAAACTACCTGAAGTTGGGTTCATGCAGGATACGTATTGTGTGTTATGTATATCCTTGAGTGTTAATTTTGTTCGGTCATACCAATGATTGTAATCTAGATGCTGTCTTATGATGGTATGTGGCTGTACCGTTCCATACGTGTCGACTTCTGGCATATTCATATCATCTATGAAGTATATCAGAGTTTTATTTCCAGGCGGGCCAAAGTTTCTACCAGCCTTCTTCTCCAATGGTTTCTCTAACACCTTCTGTAGCATTTCTGATGAAGTGTAAAAATTAAAAGGTACGGATTGAATAGCGTACGCTTCAGATAGGCTGTAAATGTTAATAACTAATTAGTAAGGGGTGCCCTCTTTAAAAAGCAAAATACCTTTAAAAAAATCTAATACATTTACTTTATATAAATATATACAATACCTTTGCAATTTTTCATTGACCAAAACAGTTTTACCGCAGCCTGCACCGCCGACTAACATTACTGGATGTCTATTTTTCATCAGTAAATCCAAAAAGTATCTAATCCTTATGGTTTCAGCAGTAGGGACAAGCACTGCCTAAATATTAAAACGAAAAGTTTTAAAAAATATACATTAAAAAAAGGGTTTAATATATGGATAAAATGAATAACAAAAAAATATTGCGAAAAATCTCGGATCAAGATATGTAATATACAATAATTATACAAACTCAATTTTAATAAACCTATTTCTTACAAATTGCATACGAAATATAATATGTAACAGTTATTGATATCGAGCAGCCTACTCATTTTTATAATAATTTTTGTCACTCACTTTATTCCTGTTTTAAAGTCTAAAAATTATTTTATTTTATTGAATTTTGACAAAAATCCGCATTTGTAAGGCCAGTAAGTTGCAGATGTTCATGGGCGGCGGCAATCACTTACCAATTGAGCCTCCTGCTCGTTTGCCCCTTTTCTCCATAAAAAAACAAAAGACTATTTAAACGTATTCAAATCTAAGAGATGCCCGGAGTTATTAGGCTAGTTATTCATTCTAATAAAGAAGAGAATTGCTTCACTCGTAATAAAATTAGTTCATCCTGATTATTCTGGTCAGAATATTGAAAATTTATCAAGTTATTGTATTCGATTCTTATATGGTAATTTACAAATTAAGCTGGCGTCTTGAAGTTGGTAAAAATTACCTGCAAACAGTGTTGTAAAATATACACAAATTACGTTACTTAAACAACACAAACATAATGTAAATTACCTGCAGTGGAATATCTGAATCCAATTCAAACTTCGTAATCTTTTCGGTCCATGGTGTAAACTGTTTTGTTTCAGAATCAATATAGTAATCAAATACGGTTCCGCCTTGTGGAAATTTTACAGTTTTAAACTCGTTGACCCACCATTTTGTGAATTCTAGAAATGTATAATAGCGACATTACATAACTACAGAAATTAACAGTAAAGTTATGAAAAACGTCAATATCATACCGATTCTATAATCTACATTAGTATCTTGAAACATAGCAGAACCAAATGCCCATACACAAGCAAACACAAAAAAGATGTCATGCCACTCTTTTGGACAATCCGCCGGTGTGTTCTCGGGCACGAGCAAACAGTTGAGAAGATGACACAGCATTTGAACATGTGCCATATCCGCTATAGGAGTTATTTTCTTGAAACGATTTCTAACCGTTTCTAAACACGGTGGAATGTATTTGTCAAAGAGAATAACCAAATTTGACTTTTCTGCTGGTATTGTCCTTGTTTCAATCCAACTTGTTACATATCTGGAAAATGCAATTATTAAAAAATCTGATATAGTAGTGAGAGGAATGTAAATTTCTTTAAAAATTATAACTCAAGCTGATACTTACGGATTCCATCCTAAGTCTTGTGGATTAATGTACAAAATTCCTGCCCTTGAAACAGTGGCAGGCGTTGCCGTTCGAAGATTGGAAATTTCAAACATGAGTCTCATTGAAGGTGTTAAAGCAATTCTTTCATTGCTAGCCAAAGTTAATATTTTGTTATCATCCATAACCGTATTTAACGATTCAATCCACATTGGATCAATATCACCGTCTAGAACAATCCATTTCGGATTTTCACCGACAATATTAGCTTGGTCTCTCATTATGACAGAAAATAATCCATCCTTCCACTCTCTTGTTGCTGGATTTATTATACCAAACAATTCATCGTTAGTCACAGCTTTAGGATTAAGATCATTGTATATGGGTTTCTTCTTTAAATTTTGGTACGTTTTAAAAAGAGTTTTCCACACTTGAGTTTTTCCGGTACCAGCATTGCCGACAATAAAAACGGAATGCCGTACTTCTAACAACTCTTCAAGTTGTACAACTTTTAGTATAAAATTATCTTCAGGCTGCAGCATAAGGTCCATTGCCGCTTGTTTTACAGTTCTTTCAAATTCTAAGTCACGTTTCCTTGGTACCTCAAGCGCCGGAAACAAATCTCCGATTAGCCCCATAAATACAGGCATATCATCAGTTACTACTTTTGGGATATTGAAATCACGAAGCGTCCTCATTAGAACTTCTTCTTCTGGTCTTCCTGGATCCCCTCTCTAATATTCAATGAAAAAATATAAATAATAGAGGTACAAAGTGATGTGTATGTGAATTTTATTTTTAAAATATTTTACCTTTAAGGATCCCGCAACTACTAGGACCGATTTTATGGCCCTTAATCCCCAATCATAGTGATCTTGTTTCGATAATAGTTCCTTACACAGAGTATATAGAGTTATAAATTTTCTAGCTAGTATTTTCGCATCCTGAAAACCTTCGGCCACCAACATGATTTCACAAATTAGCTCAAAATCGGGTACTACCATCGCACACGGTCTAAAAAGTGCTTTCAAGTTTTCAGGTAATTCCGTTCTACCAGCGTAGCCAGGATTCATAGTAATAAAAATCCCCACAGTAGGAACTAATACAATCGTTTCTCCCATAAAATTAAAGTTTTTCTTTTTATCTCTGAAAAAAATATGTTAATTTCATTTTTATTTATTTTTTAACACAAGATATAAAAAAATTAAAAAGGTAAGGTTAAGTACAAATATATGTTATTACAATCTATGCAACGATTTATGTTAACAACAAAACCGGACACCACACCTTATGGCGTCTTGCACAGATTTAACCTGAACCGCTACTACTGATAACACCTCCACAGATATTCTATTAAATTCGTCAAAACACCCCCATGCACCGGTTTGCGCTAATCCTTTATAAATATTACCGCAAGACTGTAAATAAATACAACAAACAATACTATAGCAATGACTCAAATAACAAAAAAACTCAAATATACAATATGTTTTGTACCTGATAGTCCATTTGCTCTGAGCAATTAAATACGTAAACCATTATACCCAGAGCTCTACCGAGATCCTTTGTGGTTTCTGTTTTGCCTGTACCAGCAGGTCCTGCAGGACCTCCTCCCATTATTAAATGTAAAGACTAAAAGTATATACAAGAAATTGATTTAATATTTCATTCTTGTTTCTCGAATCCCTTTTTTCAAATTACAAGAAGTTTACTTTAAATATACCTGAGTAAGAGTTATGTAACAACGATCGGTCAATGGTGTTATAACTAATCTTGGGGTGTTCCCTAAATATTCGTAGCTATATTGGAACTGAGCATCACAAATATTAGCGAAGCAATGAGATTCTGTTTCGTCCCATCTGAAATTTATTATAAATTATTAATTTAATTTGTTTATTATATATTATTAATTTTTAGTGTTATTTCAATCAAAAAGTTTGCAGTGAAAATGACAGTGATGATCAGCTCTGTTTTAATTAAGTTTGCTTGCTGGGCGATGTATGAATGATGTTCTTAGAATTATTTTACAAAACCTGTGTCTTAGCTGAGATTGCCATTGAAATGCTGATCCCGCTTCCACCTTTCCTTGAATAAGTTTACTTACAACATCTCTTGAATGTACGTCTATTGTGCATATTGTCATAATTTTCTGACGATCTAACTTGCTCAGTTCCCCAATAAGTAATGTGATAAGTGTACTTAGTTGAGCTAGCTGTTTCTTGTAATAATCTTTAAGCGCATTGTCATATCCCTCTTCCAATCTGGCAAAAGCCATATTTACTTCCGTCGTCCACCATATTTGCGAACAACATAAAGATATTTGTGCCATATAATCAAAGAGCCACTGTTCGCGAGGTTTCTCCTCATATGTGACAATTGCCTCACCGAAGTAGTGACGAATTGTTGATCTCATTATAGCTTGTAGTCTATTTAACCAAATTTCAACCTGAGCAAAATAATAACGATTTTTTATATCCCGAACATGATAATATACAGTACTATTTGAAAAGATCTATATGAGTATTTACAGGTCCAGTGCAGTCACAAGATCCATGAAATGGAACATATTCACCATCTTTAGCAATCATGCCTGCTGCAACTTTCTCTGCTGGTTTATCACTTTCAATAAATTTGAGCTTTGCGATGGAGTCGAAAAGCTTCGTTAAATGTCTAAAACATATTTATCAATTATTGGAAACATCTTAAATACGTATTACCAAGCGGCGATCTAGTGCTATTTGACCTTCTTTCCTTACAAACCAGGAGTGGAGAGAAATTGAGGTAAACTTTTATTTAGTTGAAAAAAAAATGTAATTGAACTTGAATATTGAATTTAAGTTATTGAAAAGACAGTAACATGAAAATATTATACCTAATCACCAACTCAGCTTGATTTCCATTTGACAAGATATCCAACAAGTCCGCTGAGGAGACAAAATAAAATCTCGGAAAGGCCAATCTCTTTGTTTCCAAATATTCAGCTAAAGCTTTTTCACAGATAATTAAATCCTTTTGTAAGCCATCTAATTTCTCAACTAATCCTTTTTTGTTAGTCGCCTTCACGACATTAGGAATTTTTGCCATGTCTTTTGAAAGAATCTATAATGGATACTTATGGTTAAAACATCATTTTAATGAAAAATTAAACTGTGGCACTCGGGGACTGCCGCACTAAAGCATTTTTTATCAACTTGTCAATTATAATTATTTATTTATTTTTTATTTATGCAGTTTTTTTTTTCTTTGATATAAATTCAAGTTACACTTTTTGAGCGTGGTTACCGACAAGAAAACAATTTTTTTTTCTTTTATTGAATAAATGAGAAGTTAATATCTTTTAAAACATTTTTATTATCTTACAACATGTAGGTAATTCAGGAATTTTTATCATTGAAAACTATAGGTTTATGGTAACTGAAATAAGAAACATAAGTTTGAGACTTGATATCCTCTAAATATCATATCATCATATGATAAATATCATATTATAATATCCGTCCGTGGGAGCTTCGTACAGTCGTACCATATACATGTATGTATATGGTACGGCCGAGCTATATGGTAGGCGGAGTGGGAGGTGTTAGGTTTTATTTTCGTTACGGAATTTCTTGATTCGGTCACCGCGCTCAAAGCCCGCGACAAAAGCAATGCAATAGCTTAAAATGAAAAAAAAATCTAAAAATTTTAGGTCTAAAAAAACATGCCTTAAACTCGGCATCAATTCTATCGAATCTAGTTGAATCTTCGGGAAGTTGTTTTCTGATATCTTCGGAGCTCATGAAAATACTCTCTAAATGCGACCAAGTCCTTTGTACTTCGAACCATACCGTTATAACTTGGTCAGCGATTGAAAGCTTTTGTTGCCAACTCGATACCTCTTCCAAAAAATGTGCAATGAATTTTGATGTTATAAGGTTTTGAAGTTGAACCTGAAATGTGTAAATTTAACAATCGACATATTCCTATTTAATATTGTATAATGTAAATTATATAAAAACTGACTTGATTTTCTTCTAAGGTTTCAATTAGTTCTTCGCTGGCTCTTAACAAAATGCATCCTGTCCGGGTATGGATCTCTTGCTCAAATTCCATTCCACTCCAAGTTGCGTTAAGATCCTTTAATATTTTCTCCATTGACATTTCTTTTACGGCTTTATCAACTATATTTTTTACTTCTTCCTCGCACTCATGTAAATTCAGTGCTAATAAATCTGCCAATGTAGTATTTTCATCCATAACAATTCGAACCTAATCGAAGCAAAAAGTGTTAACAACAAGAATGAAATAATAAATGCAATGAGATATTTTTTGCAATATTTAACAATTTTATGTATTATCTCTGTTGTGTTATTTACATAGTGTCAACTAAATTTAAATAAGACATCATGCAAGAAAACATTGCTTAAATGAGTTAAATTTTCAAAACATTTATTTATGTACAAATTTGTTTATATTTTTCATTCAGCATTATTATACTTACCGTAAGTTCAGGTGGCAATGCAGCTAAGCTCTGTGAAATATAAACGTATTTACATTCCAAAACATAGCATTTCACAAAACCTTCGATATAAATAAAAAGAATAAATATTAAAAACACCACTTGTATTTACAGCTTATTATGTTATATATACATCTTAAAATGTACAATTAATTAATTTGTAATAATAATTAGAGTATTAACAAACATACAAAAAACACATGCCACGGAATAAAAATGAACGGTGCAATTCATGCTATAACATAATTGAAAATATCTCAATCCATTATTTCAATGCAACACATTATTACAAAATTGTTAACATTTGAAAACGTAGACTACTTCCCTACCTTAGTTGTTCTCATAAGTTGATCCCAATGTCTTTCCCGGATTGCAGGATTTTGAAGCTCGGCAACCGCACGTAAAGATGTTAACATGTTTTTAACTGTAGCTTCTAGATTAATGTAAGTGTCCCAACTAAAAATAAAAACGTTAATATATCCAAACATGAATTTAACAACCCTAATGGCATTCGGCCCCATAATAATAGTGATCGGTTGAAAGACTTCATATTTACCCTCGCATTTCCTTGTCTAGTAATCTAATTTCTTTCGCAAACTTTTTACACTCTATATCCATATTCTCTACGTCTATTTTCCGCCATGGCGTTGTTTTCCAATCTTCAATACTAGTCCGTACAATATAGACGTAATCCCAAAGTTGCTGAAATAAAGAAATATTTTACAAGTTAACGTGTAATTTAGAATTCAATCCATAATAGTCATTTTCTAGCTTTATACCTTCAACATACGCAACTCCTTTCGACATTGTTTTAAAAGTTTAAATTCGGGCACATTAACTTCAAACAATGAGCCGGACTCTTGTATACTTTTCATTTCATCTTCCAAATATAACACTTCATTATCAACTCGTGACATTACAGAGTATGGATCATCACAATCGTATTTGAAGAACTAATAGTCAAAATAAAAAACAAATAATATTATGTTAATCACAGCTTAGTATTAATTATAATAAAAGTTAATGACAATAAGGAAGATATTTACGTCGTATCTTTTAAAAACTTCTCTGTAATAAGTGATATGTACATCAAACATCGTTATCTTTTTTCTTATACAAGCCACTTCAGCTGCTTGTAGTGGTGCAACTTGTTGTTTCACAGTTAAAGCTAATTTCTTGGTGGCTTGCCACTGTTCAGGTAATTCCTGTGAACAAGTAAATTTATGTTATTAAAGCATCAACAACTTTTCATCCCACACCTTTTCGACCGACAATTAGACTAACTTGTAAAAGAACGTTGACTTCTTCTGGTATATCCATGTCGTAAAATTTAAGTAGTTCAATAGTTTCGGTCAAAGGTTGGAACATTTCATCTGTATTCATCGTCCTATCCTTTACGTTCATCAAATATCCCATTACTGTGACTAAAGCCTCGTAATCACCTTCAGGCACAGGTTGTAACAAACCTTAAATTTAAAAATATATATATTAAATGTTTTTCTAAACCTGCTTTTTTTACTATTACATATAATTAGAAATACCTTCATCAGCTTGTCTGATGAAATTGCCTAGATCGCTAAGACTGGAAATCACATTATTAACCAAGTGTTCTTTATACATGTTACCCCATTTTCTAACAGTATTTAATAACGCCTGTCTGAATGGTCGTATGTCTACCTACAAAGTATAAAAACAATAAATATAAAAAACAATCTATAACATTGCAAAAAAGTCTGAATACAAAATTCATCCATACTTGAAACCACGAATTGAACACTTTGTAGGATTCCATGTCTTCAATATCTAAAAACAGAGTTTCGTAATGATCTATCTGTTCTCTAAAAGCTTCCATTTTAGGGGGACAAGGACTAGGTGCTTGAACGTCCTTATCCTCGGAACCAATTCTATCAATTTCCTCCGGATTCAAAATTCTTCCATAAGTTAAAAATATTTCCATTATGGCGTCTCTTTCTTCTAACCAAAGATACGAATAGTTTTCAAATGTCTTACAGAAATCGCTTGCTTCTTCGATAACCTAATAATAAATAAAGGATTAACTAACAACAACCACATTTTAATCTCCAAACATACTCCACATTAAAATTTATTTTACCCGCTCGATTCCATTCAATATTTCATCTTTCATATCAATTATATCAATGTGTCCAACTATTTCGTCTTCATAACTTTCTTCTTTCGTCGTATCAATTCTCGTTACCAAAGCAGCCATTTTCAAAATATCATTTATTAAGCTATTTATTAAGGCCATAAAACCTTTTTCGTCGTCTGGATCCAGGCTTGGAGCGAAAACCATATCGGGTTCTAATAGTTCCAATTGCGCTTCGAATAGAGGTGCCAATTTGTTTTTAGGATTCATGTGTTCAGATATATAACCCATGCTTAAAATGATTAAAAATACGTATGTACAAATGTATTGAAATAATTTATGCCATAAAAAGATCGAATTAAGAGCATTAGTACCTGCAAGCGATAGATTTAAATAACGATTCTTGAAACAATGAATCAATGAAGGAAACATAGGCCAGCCAAATTTCGCTTTTCTGATTATCTTGCATGTTGAAAAGCACCATATTCTCATTCAATAATGTTTTTATACGATGTGCAGTCTTTTTAATTTCATCATACCTTTTGGTAGTTCTTTCTTGCCGATCATCTAAGTTTAGCAGTGTGTCCTGTAAAATTAATTTTATCAAAATACTCAACTAAAGTTATAATTATGCCTATTCCACTTTTTCGGTGCCATTGGCCTTGTAGGTATTATGATTTATTAGATCTTTTTTAAAGTTTTTTTTTATAGTGCTAATCTCTCCACTTAAGATTGAACATTAAAACATGTAGAAAAAAGTACGAAAAGATTGTCGCCGCTGTGGGAATCGAACCCACGTCTTCGGCATTCGCGGCCTGACGCTCTAGCCACTGAGCTAAACGGCTGATAGCCAAAGCGCCGAAAATCTTAACGCCTTCTTTCTACATTGTTATTTAGCATTTGAAGCAATGCTTGGCGCATCTATTGTTATATCCTTTCCAGCATACATCTTTTTTTACATTTATAAATTGTATAGCATAAACAATTCGTATAAAATGAAGAAGCTACTTATACAATTTATATGATTAAATTCTTTTAATATTTACAAGATTAAATTCTCCGATTAAGTTCCTCCGTGTAAAACCCCAAATGATAATCTGTCTTCATTGCAAGTTTAATATAAGTACCAGCCCCGGATCTTCAATTTTTTTGGGTGGGGCAAAAACAGAAATTCCGCCCACGCTCACATATTTATTTTTACCAGGTATACAGGTTGGCTTTTCTAAAGATGCCCAATATCACACAGGAGGTTTAGACTGGGTAGTATTAATCGTTTCTTGAAATAAAAACATACTTTATTTTTTTTTTCAAAAAATCCCCTAAAAAACACAACTTATTGACAATGCGGTAATCATTCATAAATGCCTCATTTACTTTTGAAACGAACTTGTGTGCGTGTTAGTTATGAATGATCGCGCGTAAAATAAATGAGTTGCCCATAAATCACGCAACTTTTTGAGATAAGTTCAAATGAATGTATTTAATTAATTACGAGTGATTTTAAATATTTATCATGTTTTATATAGCATTATTTATGTCTAGAATAAAAAAATGGATACACTTAGAAAAGCCTCCCTGTACAATTTTAGCTATCAGATGTCCACTAATTGATTTGCCACTCCGCACTCTGGGTCCCCGGGTTTGAGTAAATTATGAGTTGTCCCCCCCCCCCCCCCCCCTAGATCCGGGATTGATAAGTACCTAATTAAGAAATAAAAATCACCTTTTTTTCTTCTTTTCTTTCAAATAACGGCTGCAAGGCCCATACTTTCATAACCGATTTGATTTCTTTTAGATTGTCTTGTATTTTTGACATTCGTTGGTATAAATTTCCCACCAATTTATGTAATTCCTCCAAATAGTTCCATAGATCTAAAACAAATTTATACGAATGTCAAATTATTCCCTTTTTGCTTACTTACATATTTGACGGTCCTTTTGTTTCTTACCTTGAGAATTCCAATTGAGCTTGTTTTGGGCCATGTCAATTCTTTCATCTATAGCTATTATTTCGTCTTCAACCAAATCAAATTCAACTTTCTGACTATCCTTTCTTATTTGATTATACCAATCAATAGTTATTCCGAGATTTATTCTATACTGCCTATAAGTTTCTTGTTTTTTAAATAATTCTAAACTTTCTTCAGGTAACAACATTTGTAAATCAGGGTTATTTCTCAAATGACGGACCTCTTTCATGCAATCCAACAGCTATAAAAATAATTAATAACTTCCCATCAACTTAAATTTGAAATAGCTAAGAAGTCATTTCATGTATATTTTTTTCATGTATATATATTAAATTGAATTTCCTTACCGTTGAGCTAAAATTTAATACTAAATCGGATCCTTGTCGAGCAAGAATTGGCTTATTTGTATTCTCTTTTATTATTTTGGGAACATTTACAGACCAATCATTGAAATACCTTTTCTTAAATTCATTGATATTTTCGATAAGTTTTTCATATCTTTCGAATAATTTTACAGCCTCTGCCGCACCCTTAATCCTGAAAGAAATTATTTTGTCTACAAAGATATGACTGAGCTACACGATAATAAAGGTTTTGACTACAGCGCGCCATCTTGCTTTATTCATTCACTTCACACACATTCATTGACTTTTCATACATATTGTTAAAGTTTCTACTACGGATCCGAATTTTCTATTATTTAAAGTTCCCATGGGAAGGTTCCCTTAATATTACACACTTGGCATAAAAGTACACCGAGTGTGTAAAATGGAAACTTTTCGATGCCTAAAGCGTCTTTCATTTCTAGCTCTATCTTCATTACGAAATAATAAGACGGCTGAACTCATGTTTAATCGATGTAAGCTACTCGGTACATACATCGATTAAACGTGAGTTCGGCCGTCTTATTATTTCGTTAATAACGTGTCAAGAAAGTTTTAAATAATTTTATCTTCATCGCTAACAATTCTTTCATCCTTATCTTTTGTACTGCTATATTAGCATCAATATTAGTCTAGAATATCTATAGTAATAGAAGAATTTAAGCCAGATAATCAGCTTTCGCAATTTGCCCCACCCAGATGACTTACGGGTGCGGCAAATTGCGAAAGCTAGCTACAGGCTTGGTTATCCTTGCAGCCAGCATATTCATGAACAGAAGGCCTCCCGCTATTGGTGGCATGAATGCATCAACTTCCATGTGTCCGTATTTTTGCAATCGGTTAGACTGCTCAGTGAATAGGTCCTGTAAAATATAATTTAAGAAAAATTTTGTTCAATTATCACAGTAGTTTGAAATATATTATATAATATACGTTTATTAGCACTTGCCTCACAAATTTCAATTTCCTTTTCTAGCATAACAATAATCTCAACATACTTAGCGGTAAACTCATTTCTAATTAAAGGTCGATCTAACACGGAACCCACAATATCAATAAGCTAGAAAATTAAGGAATTAATTATAAAATGCCAAATTTTCACGAGTTTTTGTTCAAACTGTATATATATACCTTAAAAATTGCTTCCAAAGTTGAACAGTTATCAAATGACTCCACAAGTACCGTAGATAATTTAAGATCTAAATCAATAATGTTTTCCTGAAATTCTTTAAAATCTGTATTAAATGTATCATCATCAGGGTCCAAAACATCATAGGACTTTGAAGCAAATTCATGAAAATAAGTGTCAAATTCGGCTGAAATCTCTCTTATTTGTCCGCTTAACACACGACCTTTCATTCCACCAACTTCTATTTTCTCAAGTTTTTGGAATTCCAAAACTGTTTTAAAGAACCATTGTATCGTATTCAATCGTTCAAGAAAATTATTCATCCTCTCGAATACCACATTGGGGTGAAAAGTCCATGGTATAACGGTTCGATCAACAAAATACTTTGGCAATTTTTCTTTAAAATAATCAAAGGTTTCCCGGAACTTTTTCAAAATATCTATGGTTAATTGAATTCGTTGTCTTGCTTCATCAATATCACTATGAAACAACGTACTTGGATCTAAGCATTTCTTGGCCTGCGCAAAACAATAACCAAATCAATTACTTTGAATTAAAAAAAACATATTCTTTTATTACATTTAGTCAATATAGATACCTGATATATAAGTAAATTACAAATTTGCTTTATTAAAACCATTAATTTAGAAGAGTTACAATAGTATTTTGAATCCCTCCAAACCATACATATTACATGAAACAGCGGCCGAAATAGAGGCTGACATTCGGTAAAGTCTGTATCTTCGAGAGCTTGAAAATGTTTTTCTAATGTTTTAAGATATAAATTGATTTCACGAGCTTCCGCTAATGCTGTAAAAATAATTCCAATTAAATTAAGAAGTATTTTAGCGACGAACAAATAAAAATAAATGCAAAACAATGAAAAAGCTGTATAAATACCCGAAACAATGTTTTTGAATAAACGGCTGAAACATGGATAATATGCCGACGTAGTCTTCTCTAATATAACTGCCATGCATCGCACTCTCTCTGTACGTAACTGATCGTATATGTAATTTAAATTGCTTAATCTCGATTTCCAGAAAGCCAATTCTGTAATAAAATTTTGTAAATGAAAGTGAAGCACAGCATTTTATACAATTATTTTGAGTAGGTTGCTAGATACTATTTCCCGCGACGTGATTAAATAATAATAATAACTATAAAGCCTCTTTATTCCTTAACTTACAGAGTTTTGATTAAATTTATGAAATATTTGTAATAGTGTTTTTTTTTTTGTTCAAAATGTATAAAGTCAAGGCCCCTGGGGGGTGCCTCCTCCAAAAGCTTCCAAGTTTTTCTTGTGTTTGCTTTTATTGTCCAGTCGTTTCAGTTCGAAGGAATGTTAGGTAGACGAAATAAAAAAATATGCTGGAAACGACTGCGACGTGATTAGTGACCATTTATTTCAAGCCAATGCTTAATACTTTAACGTTTAAGGTTTTAAGGGAAATTATTTTAAAGCTAAAGTTAAATTCATTTAACTTATCATTTAATTTAATTAAATTGAATTTAAAAATAATTATCAACGCACTAGCTAGATTAATATAGACTGTAAATTTTGTGTACACAAGAATCCGAAGTGTATTTCATCATTTTCAAATAAAGTTTCCAATGTTCTAACCGACGTTAGGTAGCGGGTTCTGCCCATTATCAAAAGCTTGCGACGAGTCCTCCATCATCACATCATTGATTTGTTGAGCCCATTTAATCACAACTCCTTCAATGGCACTCTTCAAATATAGGTCAACTTCTTTTCCTTTTAATATTTCCTTTTCCGCATCGTGGACCAACTCCACGCCCACCGGCATTGGGAGGACCGTTTGACCGTTAACCTTACCTTTGACCTGATATTCAAGAAACATTTAAAACACTTATAATATCTTGAAATAGTATAATCTCGTCTATTCTAGGCATTTATTACACGAATAATATTACTACAACATAAATTATGTAAGAAATCGTTATTAAGTAATTCAAGTTTGAACTTTGTTCAGTACATAGCCCATAACGTGTAAGCTTAAGCGCGCTTTTATCGGCATCGATACCAATTTAAAGGCAGTAAAGTTCTAAACTACGAAAACGGAATTTTCCCGTATATAATTGAAATATTTTGGCCGTACCTCGTAAACCGTGCTTTTAAGATTGTGTATTTGTTTCAGAATGTCTTTTGAAACAACCAACGGCCATCCTTCGTGATTTAAGGGATTGGATAATAAGGGGACAAATACTTCGTCCACTAACGACGCTAGTTCATCAATCAATCTCGGCGCTAGATCACCTGCATAAAAACAATCATTTATATGTTTTACCGTATCTGATCTAAAGGTTCTATTAACTGGAAACATGGAAAACTTACCAAAAATTACCATATCAGCGCAGTTCTCCTTCGGTACGACATCTGGCTTCTTTTTAATATAATAAACGGCTTTGTTTTTTAAATAACATGGGAATGAAATAACGGGTACTAGCTGAGCTGAATGCGTCAGTACCACTACAAGAAGAACCGGGAATGGCTTGTCGACAAATTCCTTTAATATTGACCTGTGCTCCTCGACGCTCACTAGCCGCATCCATTTCTCGGGTTTGAGCTTGAGTGATTTCACTGCATAAGAGCCAATGAAATCAAAGCGAGGATCCTGGTTAGACGACGATGGTCCCGGTTGATCCATCTTTAATGAAGTCTTATGTATGAACTCATTTTGCAGGTCCGTGGATCGCTTCCAAGCAGCCGCTCCAACTGCCGAGGGCTTATTGAAGGCTCCGAAGAAAGGGTACGGACTTTTCTTTGTGTTCGCTGGTAGCAAGTCACGCAATTCGAATGCGATGTCATTATGGAAAGATGTCTCCTTTGTAACGAGGCATAAACTAAGGCGTACGGAAATAGCTAACGATTTACCGTAAGCAAAAAAATATAGTTCGCTTTTATTTTAGTATTGGAAGAATTATTACGTTTATACTACTATTACTTTATACTAATTATTGACACTGATTAATAGATGTATACACTTAAGTGTTTTAATGGATGTAAAAAATTAGTTTACGTCATATGGATAATGTAGGTTCTGATTGTTCTATCCAATTCAAAACCTACAAATTAATAAAATCTATGCAGTTGGCCTTTTTGGGTCCGGCTAAAATGATTTCCACATTCCAAGAAGTCCAAAAAGTTAAGAAGAAACAATCATGAAGAAAATTACAAATCCAATAAAACTTTTTTTTATTTGTTCCTTAACTCTCTGTCATTTGACCATAACTTGTTTATCGCATTACTTTGTACATAGGCGCATTCATACGACGTGTACTTAATTCATCATCATCACTTCAGCTGCTTAAATCCACTGCTGAACATAGGCCTCCCCCACACACTCCTACGATGCATGAGCGACGTGTACTTATTTAATTATTTTAAATAATATCAGAATTGAGAGTATTATACATATAAACCTTCCTCTTAAATCACTTTATCTAGTAAAAAAACCGCATCAAGATCCGTTGCGTAGTTTTAAAGATCTAAGCATACATAGGGGCAGATAGACAGCGGGACGACTTTGTTTTATTCATGTAGTAAATGGCAACAATAACTAAACTTTACGATTTCCGCCAATGTTTCTACTTTTATCAGTTTTGCACTCTGTACCTCTCGTAAGAGGTAGGAGCAGTGCCAGGCAAAAGGCGCGCCACCCTTCGACCGCGCGACGGCCAGACGACACTCGCTCCGAATAAGGTCAACTGATGTCAACCCTGGTACAAGTTATAAGCGCCAGCGTATTCAACCCATTATTTTTATATTCTATTTAAAGTGATCATATGGCTTTACAAATAGTGTGCACGTGGAAAAAAAACGTCTCAATTATTAACCCTAAAGTAGGTAGGCGACAGTCAATGATTCGACTTTAAATTATTCACGACTAATTATATAAGCTATAAGATAAGCTAGCTTATTTCAGCGCCAATTGACAGATTGTGTGTGAATTTGTCACCTTAGCACGGACACAAACGTGTGAACGTGAATTTTTCAAATTAATTTGAACGTTGACGACTAAGCCTAGACATTGTCAAGCCTTTCGTCGAAATTTTTTCATGGTTTCGTTTGCCTTTATTATTCAACGAAACCATTAATTTTAAACTATTGGGTAATTCGTCATTATTGGGGAATATAACCCTTAAAATTAATTCGTTAATTTGGATAGAGTATACATGACTTATATCCTATCTCGGTGGAGTCGACAACACATGTTAACCACGCTCTTAACAGTAAGGCAAGGTTTTTTACGACCATTCGCCTGTTTGACGTCAACTATCTATGTAAAAGCACCCAGATTACCTATGAATGTGAATCTCACAAATACTAGACCCGTGGCGTCGAAGCCAGCATTGCGCTACTAAGTCATAATAATACCAATAACACTACAAAAATATCTAAATAAGGATTTATCTGAACTATACATGATGATTCCGATGACCGTATCGGCGTCGGCCACGGGACAACTATTTGTGTAACCCACAAATAGTTGTTCCGCATCTGGGTGTTTGTCCGCGTAAAATTTATGTTTGTAAAAACGTCCTTACAACACAGGATGTTATCCCAAAGTAAGGGCAATGTTTTAAAAAATAATAATAATAATACATTTAAAATAACTAATATTTATAGGATTAAATCTATCTAAAATAATATACATTATAGCTGCAGTTCCTCGCTGAATAGTTATGCTAAATATCTAAATAACATTGCATCATTGGATATTTGAAAACATTCAACCTAGCCAGGAATCGAACCCGTTGAATTTCGGAAAAAAAAATACAAGTTTTATACGCTTTAAGTATTTTTCGCTATTTCGCAGTTAAAAGAAATTAGGTTGAAAAATTCATGTGAGCGCGGACGGTCTAATCCAGTTTTGTGTTTGATAATGACATAAGGCAATTATCTGTGTTTTTCTTCCCTGTAAAGTGAATGAACCCTTCTGTCATACCTCTTATATGCAAGCATTAACAGTACTTAAAACTTTTCATTTTTACTTCTATGAACACCAAGAAATATCAGAAGCATTGGTCTAATAAGATATTCTTTCACACATACCATTGTCTTATACTCCCTTTCATACATAAAAACATGATTCTCGAATTTATAAAAGCTTTGCGCTTATGACTTTATACTTGCATTTCGAACAGTCAATCTGATTACGTAAGTTATGGTTTACTACAATACTTTGTTTATTACTTTTCATAGCAGGTCGCAGAACGAAATTCGCATCCTATATTGGTGACAGGCACTGATCGGTATACTGATGGATATACAATTTCATACAACACACTATTATTATAAGCCACCAAAAATCTAGCAAGGATAATCTAATCTAAATCGTTCTATTTAAATTTCTCATGCACATTCTATAATAAATCGTAATTTTAATATAACTTGATTTAGCATAAGGAACTACTGAATTGGTGAAGATGAATAAAAACGACATTGTTTTTTTTTTAATAATACATTTATTAATAATGACAGCGACGGTTGACTGAAATCTGCTACTTGGCAAAAATATCTCCACTAGAAGTGAACTATTCTTGTATTAAATTTTTAAAATCTCTTTAATTCATGCTTATGTTTACAATAATGAAGATCCAACCATCTATGCTACCGAGTAGCCGCCTACACTATGTACGCTTATCACATAAAAAGAATTAGAAATACATTTGATTTTGTGATTCAAAGTTATATTACACAAATTCAATACGGGCAAATAATATTAAACCTCCGCACTAATCTAAAAACAAATACGCGCCGAGAAAAATTAGTCATACATTTAAGCTCATTAAAAATCGAATTGACTGCAATAAATATAAAGTATACATAATTATGCACTACGCAATTAAAAATTAAAAAAAATATACAATTATATGTGTATATTATATAAAAACAAATTATTTAATTTGGGGTACCTTAAAAGAACTAACGTTTAAAACAAAAGCACAGCACATGTTCAGCTTAATTCCTAAATAAAATTCACAGGAGCTACGGGAGGCTGCTTTTGAGGTCACTATTAGACTAAAACTAGGAGCCCTATGCGTACTGCGCCACAAACCGTCCCTCGGGGGAACTGCGATATAATACCACCTCGTACATTTCGCCCGTGTCCCATCTATAGCTACTGGACAAAAGCACATCGAGAGTTTCAAAGACACACGCTACTCTTAGTTCGAAAAAAGTTTTTTTTTTAAATTTATTTTCAACGTTTCAACATTATTTATTACTCGGACTACACGCTGAGCTGTCCTAGTAGAGGCCAGATTCTTACACGCAGTTGCAATACATAATAATAATTATATCATCATACTGTTTCCCTCGTAAAATGCAAAAGGAACACCGTTCCGAGACGGTCAGTAAAAACCTTACTTACGTTCGAAAATTACTCCTATCGAATGTCTGTTTAAAGTGATCGATGCGATATTAAAAAAAAATGGAATGTTTAAGTACCGGAAAGTGAGCAAATACAGCAATATAGACGATATGTTATTGTAAAACAAACGAAGATTTAAACAAAAACGTTAAACTGCTCACTTCGAAGCTTCCAAAACGAAGTGAACGTTGGCTTGAATTCTCGAGTGCGCGCTTTTTAGTAGGCTGATATAAACTGTTACTACATCGAGTCCATAATAATTAACCGCTAAATGTTAAATGCTTATTATACAATAACGTGTACGGGGATGGAGACAAGTGGCGGGCTACGATGACGTCATAAGTGTGAGAAACCTTAAGAGATAAATACAAGTGAAATAATGACGTGTCTATCTGTGTACTCGTTTAGTGTACTTACGTACGATTACATAACTAAGAGGATGGAATATACATTTAGGTGACCTATTCTACGGACTTCTAACACGACCTGTTATACGCAATCAGCTTCGATATAATAACATTGCCCCCAATGCAACTCGCATGGACAGACGCGAGTTGAGACCGCTATAAAATATACAAGTTTTCACTAGTACAGTTTCATCGTCTTATTGTTCGAAAGTGGATGGAGACGAGTATAGGACATCAATCGATTTTTATAAATGGATGAGTTTATTTTTACACCGTGCCCGTAATAACACGAACTACAAAGATTATTCATTTGTTTTTTTTTTTGGTATTTATTTTACACCAACTTAGTCGTTATAAATTCGGAGCGCAAGTAACAAGCGTGTCGTGTAATGTTTTTTTTTTTTTAAGTAATTATTTTTAAGTACGATAAAATAATAATATGTAGTAGCGTGTAAACAATAAATTGAGCAGGCAGTCCAAAATTAGGCAGTACATGTAACTATTTGGAATGGTCCGTAGGGTTTTAAAAATACTTTTTAAAATCCCGTCGTGAGCTTGTCACTTGCGCCAAACGCCATGTCAATGTCATATGGGCGTCGGTCGATTGTCGCTTTTTCGTGTACTAAGTACCAAAAGTCTTTATCAGGACGAAGATGTGAATTTGGACGATTTTATTGTATCGATCGAAATAAAAAAAAACGAAAGAGCATGGGACGGGTGTTGCATTGTCTATTTATTATACGCCTAATTTAAGTAGTCAATGGTCTTTAGTCCTGTGGCAAGAAACTATCACATTAGACTGGCAAACATTTCTACAAAACGTTGCTACTGAGCAATCTCCAAGTGAGTTCAATTACAATTTAAAGAGAATATTTAGTTACAATCTCAACCCGATTTGTTTTAATACAGTGTGATAAGAAAACGTAAAGGACTCTTCTCAAAAGTATATAAAATACAAGTAAGAATATTTGATTATGAGCGAGACAAATTGAAAAGCAAAAAGTATAGTATTCTCAAATCACACGATATTAAAAATCTAAAAAAACAATAGTAAAACCAAGAAAATCTCTATTCAGCAGTATATAAAGATACAGTTTGGACGTTATCAAATTTCCAGGTCATTAATTTATAAACAAATAATTAAGTAATATACTTTTTGAAGAATAAGTACGGTACAAGAGGTCTAAATTAAAGACCCAGAGCCTGAATAAATAACGCTACCTGTAATTACTGTTTATGCAAAATTAAAATCCAAAACTTCGTTTACTTTACGTTACCAAAATAATTTATTGACTACCTTACCAACATAAAATCGAAGAAGTATTGGTGCAGCTACTGACATATTCGATAACACACGACTATGGAATTACATAAAACAATTGCCTAATATCAGATAAATTAATTACTACCACAAACTATACAGTAAAAAACCTCTTTACAAATAATCCACCAATACTTATCACTGATCACAAAGGAATCATTTTGTCTCTAAAATTATTTAAATTATCAATAATAATATTAATAATTAATACAAACACACAAAGATTCACATATTTACAACAAAATGAAACAACAAAAATAATTATTATTACGAAAAGAATTAAAATCACATCACTGCTTCAACGGGTTGTCAATCGATTCTATTTACAAACAAATAACTAAATCTTCTTACGGTCAATTTGTAAAATGTCTAAATAAATATAAGAATAATGATAATATAAGAACGCACTAACAGCTAATGCAAAATAAAAATTTAAACCGATCAGCGAGTGTCGTCGAATGCGTGGAAACTTCACAACCCCTGCGGCTGTTTATTAATATCGGGTCAATTAACACGAGGGGGTGAGTTTCGTTAGGGATGACTCAATGAGTGGACTGAATGATGAGATAATGGGGGTGGGGGATTATTTACGGCCGAGCGAACGCTACGAAATAAGCACCATACAGCCTGGAGTGAGGAATTTGGAGATGCGTGGTGAAGCGGACATATGGAATAGGGTCCGATTGCTTCTCGACGGGAGAGTCACGACCGGGCGGCGTGTTCTCCGTCTATTTACTCCGAGTTTTCGTGCCGACGGCGTTTATGCTGTCGCCGCGGCTCCTGGACCGGTGCAGGTTATGCAGGCCCTCGCCTGCGAAACGGAATGTGAATTAGAAAAGAGAACTCATCTACCCATCTGTCGATATAAAAATTATGTAACTCTGAAATTCGTTGAAAAAATGGGTGACAACTTTTGTTTTCCCGCCGCTGAGGGAATCGAACCCACGCCTATGATCATGCCATGCGTCGAAATCGTGCGGTGAGTCGTAACCGTGGCGTGCGTCGCGATCGTGCCATGGGTCACGATCGTGTCATGGGTCACGATCGTGTCATGGGTCACGATCGTGTCTTGCGTCGAGATCGTAACTTGTGTACGTACAGTGTCATGCGTCGCCATCGTGTTGTGCGTCGTGATCATGTCATGCGTCGGAATCGTGTCGTGCGTCGCGATCGTGTCATGTGTCGGGATAGTGTCGTGCATCGTGATCATGTCAAGTGTTGGGACCGTGTCTTTTGTCGTGACCGTGTCACGCGTCGACATCGTGTCTTGTGCCACGCTCGTGTCGCGCGCGTACCCTTGCTGTGCGCGCGCCGCAGCTCGGCGTCGCGGTACGCGCGCGCGCTCCTGCCGCGCCGGTCGTGCGCCAGCTTGTCGGGCCGCACGAAGATGCCGTGCCGCGGCCGGCACGCGAAGTACCGGGTGCCGCCCACAGAGCCGTCGTTCTTGCCTGTCGCACAAACGCATCATGCAATTACCAATTCAATAATTTGCCCACCGGCAAATCATGGCAGTCGGAAATTTTGGGAACTATTATTTTAGCAATGTCAGTAGATATTATGTTTAAGTGTATGTTCACTAACGATTTGTAATTTATATCGCGTTAGTAATAAATGGTGATACCTCGGCGCAGCTACCTATTTGTGTGACTCGAATAATTATGGTTCTCTCGGTTCACGTTAAATTTATGTATGTAAAACATTCCTACAACAAATGATAACGTTGTCATACAGAATAATTGCTATGTTTAAAGTGTTTGCTGAATCAGATTAGACTTTATGGATACATTAGATTATTTAAGAGACGGCTATAATGGCGTTTGTGCCTGTGCCCAGTGGTGGGACAGTGGGACGTGCGCACGCACCGATGGGCGCGTCGAGCTCGACGCCGACCCAGAGGCCGTGCGCGAAGTGCGTGGGCCCCACGTAGGCCACCACGCCGGTGCCAGAGCTGAGGCGCAGCTGCACGCTCTCGCCCAGCGACAGCCACTCCGGCACCGCGAACGCTTTGCCGTTCTCAGAAGACTCCTCTGCCGAAATTAAATTTAGATGTAGTCGCAGGAACTCGTAGATGGATATAAACATTAGTCAGTTAGTTTATTTTGCACACCATTTACATTTAAACTAAATTACCAAAGGAAACGCTTATTGGGGTTTAAGATGAACCCTTGCCTGGACAGACAACGGCAGTTGATGCCGCGATTGGCATATTCAGTCTGAACGACCCAACAAAAGATGGAAACAAATATACACGCGTCATTCTGTTTTCAGAGTTTAAGTGCATGGAGATTGTAGCATTTCTTTCAGCTCCGGTAAAACTAAAAGAGACAAAAGCTGCAGTCCTTTAACATTTCTAGGTCTTTAAGAAGATGGCCAAAGTTTTAGAATTTTTTTATGTTGCAGCATATTTTGAAATTTGAATTTCGTATTGCGTAAAAACAAATTTGTACTGTAGTCTGTATTGCCATAATAATTATTTTTTTCTAAATTTAGTTTTTTTAGAGTTCCGTACCCAAAGGATAAAACGGGACCCTATTACTAAGACTCCATTGTCTGTCTGTCCCAGGCGGTATCTCATGAACCCTGATAGTTATTACTTTAGTAATTTTCACAGATGATGTATTTCTGTAGCAGCTATAAGAACAAATACTAAAAACAATGAAAATGCTTGAGTGGGGCTCCCATACAACAAACATGATTTTTTGCCGTTTATATAGATATGATGACTCCGTGGCACAGTTGCCAAGGTATAGGCTTCGGTGTCGTAGATCGTGGCTTCGATCCCCACACGGGACAACTATTTGTGTGACCCAGAGATAGTTGTTTCGCATCTGGTTGTTTACCCGCGTGTAATTTATGTATGTAGAACTTCCTTACAACACAGGATAATGTTATCCTGAAGTAAGGGAAATGTTTTTCAAAATAGAAGTTTTTCTAAACAGAAGTAATGGTACGGAACCCTAGTCCGCCAATCCGAGCGCGCAGTTGTCGTGCGCGTCCTTTACAAACAAAAGTATTTTGTTTCGCCCTCTCGTGGAGAGATTACCGTCGCCTATGCGCTCGCTGGAGGAGGCGGGCGTGTCGTAGAGGGCGCGCGAGTGCTCGGCGCCGGAGCGGGGGCGCGCGGCGGGGAAGGAGGCGCGCGACGCCGCGCGGGCCGACGCGCCCGCTCGCCTGCGCACCACCTGCCGTGGATATTTAGATTTATACTAGCTGCTGCCCGCGACTATGTCTGCGTAGAATAGGCTGAAGGCGAACATTCAGACAGGAAGACAGATATACATAAAAATATGTAAATAAATTATAGCCTGTGTTTTATTCTGATGCATAAGGTATATTATTGTAAAGTTTCATTAGAATCCATTCAGTAGTATTTGCGTGAAAGAGTAACAAACATCCATCCATACATACAAACTTTTGCCTTTATAATATAGTAAGGATAAGTAAGGACGTAAGAATATATTCTACGACCACATCGTACATATTTAACATTAACATGGTAGGGCCACGCCAGTGTTCGGTGTTGCACGAATGGTCAGGTCCGTTCGGGTTAGTACCACGAACTCACAGAAGACCGGCGTGAAGTAGAGGTGTTACACTTCTGCATTTCGTCTGGTGAGTGAGGTAGCCGGGGCCCTTAACATCAGGTGAACCACCAGCTCGGTTGCCACTTTGTCAAATAAAAAAAACGGAACCGATGTAAATAAAAAGACCACCGTTCTTTTACACAGTGTTGATCAATTATAAAATTGAGTTGTGATATATTTCTTATGTAAAATCTTCTGTATAAATAAAATACAAAGGTCTGTCGTTGTGCGCAAGACGCGAAAAAAACACTGGATATATTGCAATGAATTCTTCAATGTTATATGTTTTAGATACTTCTCAAAAACAATTGTGATATCTTCATTTAATTTAAAAGTTAAGGTCATTTAATTTAATTTAAAAGTTAATTTTAAAGGTTAAGGTCTCAGTTGATTATAAATCATCATAATCATGCCGAAATGGGGCCTATAGTGCAGTCAACGATAAATTTGGCATCGATGCTAGACCACTAGCTATGCTCCGAAGTGATCCGCTCACCTTCCCGGCTGGCAGATGCGTGGCCACGGGGGCGTCGTTGCCAGTGGAATCGCTGTCACCAACGGAGGACGCCTCACCGCTGACGTCACGACTCGACGGCTCCGAACTGGTCGATTCCGCCTCCGCCTCCGCTTCCGCATCGCCTTTGCATTAACGAAGCATGTTAATGCTACGAGTTCCCACATCATATACAGCGTGTCATTACAGCCGCGACAATAAATAAACAAACATATAGAAGATAACTTTTTTAAATTGTATTAAACGTTTACATTCTTTAAACATCAATTTACAAAACAACAAGTTATTAAATTTTACAAATCAAACATTTTTAGAACACGGAAGGGCCGTATAAAACTGTAACGTAAAGTTCATTTGTAAAAGTCACAAACCATATGAATGGGTTGAATGAATGTAAAAGAGATAAAATATACTGTTAGGAGAGACTTGTAAGACGATGTTATGATAACGAATAAAAAAGTCTCTGAATGTATGAATGTGAAGTCAGTTGTAGGTGTATAGGATGTTACAAATTTTGTTTCTTTTTATTTAATTAGTTTGTTTGAAAAATATATTTTTTTAATCATGGATTTTTTTAATGTTTTATATTTTTTTATGATTATTGGCTATTAGCGTTGGACGTGTATTGATTTATTGTATATTTATTGTATTTATCGCGGTTGTAACAAAACGCTGTACGTATACAGGGTACATATACAGCATAAGCAGAATTTGATTCTAAATCTGAATCCGGAAAGTACTTGTGACCTCATTTTTTTTTTTCACAGATTATTTTTAATTTTTTGAAACATTATGGACATCTTAATAAATTTCAGCCTTACCGTGCCAATACAATAATCTATTGGTGAGCAATAAATCTTTTCGCTGAGCACATAATTTCTAAACCGCTTATCAATAGGGTAACCACTGTTAACGGGATAAAGAAACAATGTTTGAATAGATATTTTTCTGGTTATTTCTTGTCAAAATAAAATATTAATATTTTTTTGAATTATCGAATGCTCAATTAACATTATGTCAAAGCATGTACTTCGTCTAAAAGATCACCCAGTATATCTTTATCTAATATATAAAATTCTCGTGTCACGGGGTTCGAACTTGAACTCCTCCGAAACGGCTCGACCGATTTTTACCAAATTTTATATGCGTATTCAGTAGGTCTGAGAATCATCTACTATCTATTTTTCGTCTCCCTAAATGTTAAGGGGGTAGTCCACCCCTAAATTTTTTTTTAATTTTTTATATAAAACTTTTTGTTTCTATTTTTTTATGACACAGCATACAAAAATACATACAACCCTAAATTTTCACCCCTCTACGCAGACGTAGTCGCGGGCAGCAGCTAGTTTTAATATGAAAAGTTGTCAAGCGAGCAAGTCACATTAAATCAAGTGTATATGTCGATGTCGATGCGTTAAAAGCCTTTAAAAAAGTGAGACCCGGCTACCTCAATCACCAAACTAAAGGCGAAAGTTTAATACTTGCACTTCACGCCGGTCCAGTGAGGGCCGTGGTACTTCCCCGGACGCATTCGTGCAACAGCGGAACTTTGTACAATATTTATTAACAAACCGACTACTAGAGCAACCCAATCATAACGCGAGCTCACCGAACGTGGTGTCGTGGGAAGCGTCGCCGTTGACCTTGGCGCTCTCCACCGGGGCGCTCTTGGCCGTGGGGCTGGTCGACATAGGGTGGGTCTCCACCGGTATAGCGCCGAGGGGGTCGACCAGTTGGCCTTCGCGGGCGTGCTCAGTGGCGCCCTCGCAGTCCCTCAGGAACGGGTTGACGCGGCTCCTAGAACCGGGCGTGAGGGCCGGAGTGCCGGCCTTGGCTCCGAACGACGCGTCGTTCGTTGCCTCGCTCAGCTCGTTCTTCGAGTCGACGATGTCGTTCTTGAGCTCGGTGATGTCGTTCTTGAGCTCGGTGATCTCGCTCCTCAGGCCGAGCACGGTCGACCTGGTGCGCGCGAACTGAGCGTAGTCCAACGTGCGGTCGAAGTCGGGCGTGTCGTCGGCGGACATGCTCCGGATGGAGAGCGTGTCGTCGTTGCTCAGGTTGGTAGAGGAGACGGCCTGGGAGCCTGCAACGCAAGCGGTCGAAACAGTTCGATTAGTCTACAAACGGCAAACGTCAACCATTTTGCTGTCGATCATAGTGTAAAGAAAAGCAGCAAAGGAGATAATAATTCATAATTCATCAAATATTTAAACAGGGAATAATTGAATTTCTTAGTCCCGATAAGTTCCTGTCGACACGTAAAAAAAAGAAATTATAAAGGAGAGATTTCTCACCGTAACCACTGGATGATAGGGATGGTGAGTTCTTGTTTGGTGCGCGTTCGCAGGCCAGCTCGTGTAAAGAGTCCAAGGTCTTGGATGTGGGCAGGAAGCCGCGCGAAGCACCACGACCACGTGTGCGCTAAACGGACATATATATCGTGCATAGCTGCAATAACTCATTGCGCGGGCGCTTGCTTTTAAATATACTCGAGTACCGAGTTCGTTCCCCGGTGCCGGCACCAATAAATATAATGCGCTGACTTATCACATGCTGAGCGGTGAAGGAAAACATCGTCAAGGCTCCCCTTCATATTTTCGTAATAATAAAAAGATAAAATATTTCGAAGATATGTGAAGTCCGCCAATCCGCATCGTCCGGGTGGTATTAGGGCATTGTCCATCAAGTTGGCCGCGTGGGGAACTATGCCTAAAAACCTCGGTACGGAGGAGGTCTTTGCCCAATAGTGGGACATAAACAGGCTTTAAAATTTGTAAACAACAGATTAGCTCTATAAAAATTTTAAATTTCATATAAAGGATGTTATTTAGTCAAACTTATGAGGCTTACGTGTGATCGGGGCGTTGATATCCCGTCGGTGGGCGCCGACTCCGGCTCCGAATGGGAGTCGTCATCGTTCCTCCTTCCCGGTTCCTCGTGAAGGGTCGTCATTCGCAATCCCAGCTTGCCGCTCGCCGGGGACGCTGCAACGAATGACAAATCGAAATCGTACATTTGCACGCGAACCGTTCATTCGCTCCACATTCAACCATTCTTTCATTCGCCCGCCAGAGGGAAACGACGAAAATATACGACGGGTATACGACGCGGCAAGTTTAGAAATTTTGCCTCCACATCGGAACTCAATAGATCATGAACGATAGCTGTACGTTGCGAACAATAAAAGTCCACAACTTTTCCAATGGAAATTTGTTCTTAGTTACAATATACAAAAATAAGTATATAAAATAAATCAGCTAACAATTACCAATAAAATAATAAAAAACTCAAGTAAGTGGTAGATAAAATATGATTTTCCATAGAGATGCTACAAAAAGGTGCCATTATGCCACAAGAACTCTCCAAATGCGGTGCTCTGATGCTTTTTGATGAAGACACGTTTACTTATTATGGAAGAAGTATTAATGCGTAATTTTGAAAATATCGCCAATTCATGCTTAAAGCTAATGTTGGATTGCCTTAGAACAAAAAAGGCTTACAGAATGTAAGCGGAATGTAACATTATAATTTTTAGTACCAGTCTTTTTTGGATGTAGCTGCAATCTAACTTTAGCTTAGCGAAAACATTCTAATATCATGCCACTATCGCACGAAGAACGTTACTCCTAATGAGTCGTAGCAAATAAAAAAGAAACAATAATCCGACTAGAAAATAAACTTGTATTTTCTTGTAAACTATAATCCACTACAAAATTAGACCGTAAGTCACCAGAATAAAGCAGAAATTAACCGTTCATTCGTAAAATACGGCGGAATTCAGAGTGAGAATAGAACGAACACATAAAATCAAGTATTATAAGACGAAAATACGAAACAAAACTGTCGAAACAAGCCATTCTAGCAATTCTACGACTTAAATGTCTGGACGTACACTTGTTCGGCGTCTGCAGTCGCAGTGAGTTCAGGTTCAAATTCAAGTTTAGGAACGTTGGCCGAGCTGCAATAGAAATGTTAATCACCTTATCAATATTAGTACACACCAAGTCGCTAAACCATCGCACAGTTATTGTTTAATGTTTGTTAAACCTTTCACATTTTAAATGAATATTAAAGACACAAATAAAAATGGATCCTAAAAGTAACAATTATTTAAACTCTTAACATGAAAATATATTTTTTTAAACATTGTTTTTCATCCAAGAAATAAAAAAATAGATCAATAACAAATCTTGTAGGTTTTTAATATTTTTTTTTATATTTTAGCTCTAGTCTCTGCCCTTAAGATGAAACAAAAATGTGTAGAATTTTTTCGTAGCAATAATTTTTTCGGTAACAATTATTATTTTACAAATAGTATTTAACTTTGTTAGATATATAATATCACAAAATTAACCATCAACTTCTCTTTGTTTACATAGTCTAGTGCATGCGTGGGTAACAATTCTAACCAAATCAATTGTCATTATCATTAGAATCGTAATATTCACTACATTCACATGCACTCTGTTCTAGGACACACATTTACCTAAGTTCCACATAATCGATCTATATAACTACTGCACGATCTACTCTTACAAGGACTGCTCTTCAAGTTTTTTCGCCACATTTAAATTAACTATTTTAATTAACAATATTCTCTTATAGGCTGTATTCAATCGTCTCTATGTTCCATTACTCTATTATATTGTAAGCGAAGTTATCCATAGTGTTTCTAAGCTCTTTTTGCTCGTGGTCCTCAGCAAATAGAATAACGGAATGAGGGGGACAGGGAGGTATTTATAGGTCATGCTCGGTCCATGCAAATGAAACAAACACGCAAAGGAAAAATGTCGTAGGTTAACACAACAACAGAAGCTTGCTCGACGCCTAAAGCTCGCCGAATGTATTTACAATCTAATAGCCTCAGCGTTAAGGTCTAATTTGGTTTCGAGTGCTCAATTTTGACAAACATTATTTATCGACTAACTCGTGTGTTTACTTAGCTATCACAAACAAACAAAACAATTTAGAATAATAGCCAATAGAGCGTTGATACATATCCAGCATCAATTAACAGCCAATTCATAACGGACAAAACATAAACATGATATCAATCGTGTAACGATCGAACAACACATCTAGAATGTTCTCATTATTCAATTTTGCAATTAAACATTCGTCTAACAATTTCGCCATACAGTTGCCATTCCGAATCAATACGATTTATTGTTCCTTTTACCTGATAAGAACGAGCCTGAAGGTAGCGAGGGGTTGAGATATAGAAAAAAAAACAACGTTAGTTCAAGCCGGGATCAGACGATGGCCGTAATTAATTCAGCTCTGTGGAATATTCATTCAGATAAAAATGATCAAGAAAATAATGACACATTTGTAATATTGTACACATTGTTCAGGCAGTAGAATTTAAATTGAAATCTATCCGAATATATATTTCCCACAGAGTATGGCCAATTGGTGTAAAGATAAAAAATCCAAACATTGAGGTTATAATTTTGACACTTTACAAATGGGTAACTTTTAACAAAAGTTTTAAAAAACGGAATGAGAGTAGGATAGAACAGGAGTAAGAGAAATCAGAGCCATAGCATTGCCACAAAGCCAGTGGGGGGAAAAGGTGTAAATCCTATTAAATGAGTTTATGGGTGGATGATGGTCATTGGTTACATGTTTCAGTTTAAATATTACGTCATTATGAATCGTAAGCCAGTTTTGTTTTTAAAGAGTCACCTTTGCGTCATTTTAATACAATATGCTGCAAAATGGATTGCTACTTAACTATGTTCCTTCGTGCATTCTCAGTATGGTTTGTACAATCGCTAATCAAAGTTATCTTCTACTCTGTGCCACTAGTGATTACTCTATGTCGATAGATTGCTATGAAGTATGTGTTGAAGTTCGTGTAAGTAATGCAAGGAGAGCATATGTTGTTGATAATAATTATTACAATGTGCATGACAGGGGATAGGAGTAAAATGCTTGATAGTAGATAATAGATAGAAGAGGGAAAAGAGGAGTGCCGAATTTGGTTTTACACTGTAAACAAAAGGGACATCTAGAAAATGTGTATCAAATCAAAAGAAACTTAACAAATTACAACAATTTCTACAATATTTTTCTATGTAGTAATAAAGTTGTAATAATTTAAATTATACTAAACCGACACATACTCGATACTCGATATAACTTAAATACCACTAAATCTTAGGATTAAATTGAAGCCTCGATTACATGTAAACATGAGAGTATACACACTTGATTAAATTGTGACATTGATTCTTCCTTAATTAACAAACAAATGATACATCTCCCGGAGTCTCTGGTACTCTAATTGTCCAGTCAGATTAATGACAATCTACCAACTCACGTCCAACACGAAAATGACAATGGTGACCAGGTTCTCTTAGACAGATTATCAACTTTTGCGACCGTCAACGTGTGAGTACTTAAGCGCGAGACGGTTGAAGTGACCTGTTAACTATAAGCCCCACAAAGATCGGAGTGAAAACAAACTCGTCAGTCTGATTGCCCTTAACATAAATAAATAAAAACTCGCGATAAATTCGACGAAAACATAACAAACGAAATACCTTGTGGCAGGACACTTTTTACTGCAGTAGGGCCGCAGTAGGTACGCAACAAAAAAGTACTACGCCCTCACTTAAAACCTGATAGAAGTAGAAATATCTCTTTCCGATGTTTTATTTAAAAAAAAACAACATCTCATCATACAGATTAACGTCGGCAGCCAGGCACGGTCTCTCCCGAGTCCGTAGTGACTTTAAAGGTTAACCCATGGCGGGGTTCATATTTTTTTTATTTCGATTAAAAAAAATATAGAAACAGGCAGGCTCCGACAGAAGTGAAAACATAAAACAATATCAAAATTAGAATTGTCCGAACGATAAGAACAGTATTTATATCATATCCATAACTAATAAAAATATATTTTTGCGTTTCTATGACGATGACGCGAGTTCCACGAGTTTTGTTCAACCGAAAAGTGCTCAATGCGTCTAAAGAAGTTTTCACTCCAAAAAAAAAAGAAAACTCATCACTCAATCCGACGACGGCGGCACTGAGCTCGCAGCTCAGCGCCCCGAGCTCGATGCTCGGCGCGCACGCGTACTCACCGAGTCCGAAGGGCTTGGGCGGCGTGCACGGGTCCGGCTCGCAGTGGGCGGGCGCCGCGTACGAGTGCCGGTGCGCCCGGCGCCGCGGCTCCTCCGCCAGGTCGGCCACGCTGCCGGAGCGCGCGCCGCCGAGCCCGCTCAGCGACTCGAGCGACGCGTCCAGCCGCATGATCTGCGGTCGCACGGAGGCACGCACGCGTCACTCGCCGCCCTCGAGTCACCGTTCGAGTGCGACGGAAGACCGTGCGAGAGGGACGGATAGATGCTGCGTACCGACGCGGGGTCTTCCACCCGTCGCCGTCGGAGTGCGACGGAAGATCGTGCGATAGGGACTGGTATAGATTCGTCGGGTGCGTACAGATGTGGGGTGTGGCCATGGAAGAAATCACTTCGAAGAGATTTTTGTTTGCTTAGCCCGTACACCCTTTTACCTTTTAGAAGATCGGAAAATTTTGCAAGGCACGCCAGATAAGTGTGCCGTATTTTTATACTGCGCATTAGTTTGTGATCGAAATGACTCTATGGGTCATAGTCATTTCGTGATGAATGATTTCGTTGTCTCATTTTCTGCACGATTTGGATTTGGATATGACTGCAGTACACAGTATCTTCATAAATATTCTATTTGAATATTTTTCGTGTAAATTTAATTAAAATAAAAATATTTCGACTATAAACTAATTGTTTCAATAAAGATGTAATAAAATAAAGAATTAACACAATACAAAAAATTAAATCAACAAAATAAATATTGCTAAAACATCCAATAAAATTCTAACTATTCAAATTCTGAACACGTAATCATTATAAACATAATAATTTATCAACTTACTAACAACACATATCAGATCAATAATCTAAGTTACTCATGAGTCGAACTGTGAAAATGCTTGGCTCGAATGAAATGGTAAAATACATCCTTGCTGTATCTGTTATATCTAACGTGAGTTACAATATTAAATATATACACAAGTCTACGACATCTACGACAGACTCAACACATGCAACTTTACGCCACGACATTGACGTGAGACGCGGCTTGCAGTGATCAAGTAACCGACACAAAGCCTTACACCAAGAAGCTTGCAATGGCAAATACATGAAGTCCGCTCACTATAGTCAATCGTCCCCTACGTTGATCCGTATACCGTGTAGCGAAATATTAAAGATATTCTCGAGTTGAGACTCTCGAAGTGAAAAAATGCAGTTAAATCATTTAACAAATTACAGTATGTTTGCACATCGACTTTTGGAAAGAGACAATCGGCTAATTTCGGTTTCATAGAACGTTATCTCTGTCGCACGAATCACTAACAGTGCGTTAGGAATTGTGTTTCGAATATAACGCTTTACGAAAACGGAATGAGCCCATCGTCTCTTTCCAAAGGTCAATGTGCTATGCTTATCTCATCATCATCATCCTCCTGCCCTTATCCCACATAGGTGGGGTCGACACAACGAGTGAATCATATTGTAAGCGAATTTGGCTATGTAATATACGACCTGCCTGACTGACGTCAACCCTCCACGGGAAGCAAACGCTCAGATACGAACAATTATTTGTGTGACCCACAAATACTTATTCCGTGTGGGAATCGAACCCACGACCCTCGACGACGAAGCCAGTAGCTTAGCAACGGCGTCATCGAGTCGATCATCAGTGCAATGCTTATTTCCGATTACTATATGTAACAAAAACATATCTAACTTGGTTAGACATTAAAGTCTCAGCCCGGAATTGTTTAATATGACGCTACACGCGGACTGTACACATCGTGGTAGAGAGAGATGGGCGATGCGAGTGATATAGTGTGGGGCCATGCGTGGGACTCACGTTCGTGCCGCCCTTGTTGCAGACCTCGGGCGCCTGGGTCAGCTGCGCAGCGTGCACCGAACACACACACACGTTAGCAAGCGAACACTCATCCTATCTCCGACGACTAGCCTTCGACCGCGGCGTCGTCTTTTTATACGGCACTTGGCAAAGCGTATCTGATGTTAAGTGACCACCAACGCCCGTGGACTATGAAAGCAGCGGACGGGTCGAAAGCGGGTCGACTGTCTTCAAGAAAGTCTAGGCTTAGACGGCGTGGTAATTTTTGATATACCATTTTTGATTATATATAGGGATACTATGTATTTTGTGTGTTTAATAATTGAGCGGCAAATTCATTCAGATAAAGTCATCGAACTTTCTTATGTATGATGTTAGTGCTATGTTTGCGATGCCCGAGGCAGTTCTGTTATAGTCGCTTTGGCTGTGAGAAGCTTCATCTGTCATAGAGCCCGCGAAAATCTAACTGTTTATTTTCTAAACTATACTTTATAGTTATTGAGTAAAAAATGCACCCACACACTTTATGAGCATATTTAGACATAAAATACTTTCAATTTGAAAGAATCCGTGAGAACAAGATAAGTAGATATGGACTGTTACAACACAATTGTCTTTTTTATTTCTCACCTATACTATTTGAATGGCACATGTTGTAACTAAATGTTAACAATGTGTTCACCAAAATGCGAATTGTGACTTTCGATGGAATGTTAAACAAATCATTAAATTTACTTTCTTTGGCAGTATAATAAACTAAACACGTTACAACACAATTACGGTTAGTGACGGAGCTACATATCGGCGTTTCGTGGGCGCAGTTATACAACAATAAATGTGATAGTAATACAGCGTGATGTTAAGTGTTGCCGCAGTGCAAAAGCCTCGAGTTCAAAGCAGTCTGTTAAGTTGAAACAATTGCGTTATCGTCGGCTTAAAACCGTCAACAGCTATTTCAATATAGAAGCTTGGAATAAGATCCCCCCCCCCCCTCCCTCCCCTTCCCCGCGACCCCCCAACCGACTGCCATGAACGAGCGGCATTACACGATCGCACAAAGAACGCGCGCGCGTATCGTTGTTAACCCAACAGCGCATTGCAGCCACATTGATCGATGAAGATACATACATGAGAATCGGTGACGTCACTGAACTTACATCGCCTCCGCAGATGTCAATACTAAAGGGACGCTCATCGCCCGGTGGCCCGCTCTCGGGGCTTGGGTCGCCCAGGAGCCAAGGGAATGTACGGCGTACTAACTGAAAGAGCCGAAACAAGGGTCGAATGGGGCTTTGACATCTGCTGAGGGGCGGTGCGGGGGGGGGGGGGGGGGGGGGGTTTGGTTTTCTTTTCAGTGCGTGTAACTCGCTAATCGCACGTTCCAAATTGTCTATGGCCGCTCTTCATCAACCAATACATGGCCGTGTTCGTTCAAACGAATATGGAATACTTAATACGGTTACGCTAAAGCCGCGAGTGAGTAATTCTTACACTCCGTGATAATGGTCGACGACAACAACAGAAGTATAAATTGAGGCAACGGAAAAATAAAGTTTAAATTAAAAAATAAATAATAAACAATTGAAAGGGCTTCTCACAAATTACTCGGTATTAAGATAAAACTAAAAGATATAAATAAAAAACTACTTAAAAATTAAATTGCGATAAAAATTCACAGAATAATAAGAAACAGCGTTAGCAATGCGCGATACATTTTTCTGATAATTTTTTTTGTTGAAAGAAAAAATATTATATTTTTTCCAGTGTTAGTTAACTTAATAAAGTTAAGGTGTACCAAAATGAAATGAAAAAAAAAAAACAATTAAAATTATCCAGAAATTAAACTGAATGAAGCGTTCGGTGCAAAAACATAATATCAATGACAAAAAATAATAAAAACAAAAAAATAATTAAGCAAAAACATAAAAAAATTATTGACTGACGCTAATTTCGGTTATTAAGAATTCCCAAAAACTCTCACGCACACCTCGCGCGTCACGTGATGCGTACTGCGCGCGCACGGACGAACGCGTACGCAGCACGTGAAGAGCGGGCTCGAGGTGTACGCAAATGGGGGCGTGGGCGTGGGCTTCGGCGTGGGCGTGGGCTTGGTCGTGGGCGTGGGCGTACCTGCGAGAAGTTGGGCACGGAGGCGGTCTTGCGCATGGTGACCGGCTGGCCGCGCGCCTGCTCCAGCTCGCGCACGGCCACGCTCTGCCGCAGCCGGTCCAGGGTCAGGATGCTCTCGACCGCGCTCACGCCGCGTGTGTACTTCTCTGCAACGAACGAACGGTTCGAAACCGGTTAGATTTGTATATTTTTTACGTGAAAAGTTGTCAAGCGGGCAGGCGGTTCGCCTCATGTTAAGTGAATACCGCCGCTCGTGAACATCAACCACATCTGATGGTTTGACAACCATTGAAAAAGTAAACTAAATTGGTATCTACCGATGGTTTTTAAAACTAAAATTTGAGCCTATTGCAGAGTGACAGACTTACGATCTGTACTGTATCAGGAAATAACAATCTGCGTTAGGCGCTAGGTTTAGATTAAACAGTCAATCTCTTCCGTAAAAATTAAAAGTCTTTAAAACATTGATTTGTATTTAGATACAATATGTCTAAAAAAATGTATTAACATTTTTATTAGAAACACGAGCAACTTTAGGCATCCGTCGAATCCCTTAACGTAAATCACGTAAGAAATTATATTGGAACGTATCAAATGCCTTTGATCCAGGGCACACTACTGTCTCCATACCAATGTACGTCTCGCCGTCGGCGGCGCTCGCCTCCTCGCCGGTGGCGGCGATCTGCGCCAGACTCTCGCGCTCCTCCAACTCCTCGGAGGCCTTGGGGATGTTCGACACCACCTCGTACGTGACGCCCGTCTGCGTCAGCTGGTCGGTCCTGGGAAAAATGTTCATCGTCAGCATTCATCTTATTACTTACAATTACTTCAAGTTATTACTTGCCCATTGTGCAAACCTTACGTAATCTTTATTTTTAACCGACTTCAAAATAAGGAGTTCTCAATTCGATCGGTATATTTTTTTTGGATGTATGTACACCGATTACGCTGAGTTTTATGATCCGATTTACGTGATTTTTTTACTTTACTTTGATAGAATAAGATTTTTGAATAGTTAACATTTAGAATTTTTGCCATTTGGTCCCATAAAAATTTAACAAAGTTTTCCCAAGTACATTTTTAATGCATTTTTTACCTTGGAGTGAGAGTATTCATTAAGTCATTCATTCATTCTTCTGCGTGCATACAACACTTTCCTCCACGTAAAGAAATATATGTGTTTCATCATATCATCTCAGCCGCTTTGAATTAGCTACCGTTAACTTTTCTACGAAATATGTGAATGTATCGTTCGCACTCTAACTTGCAATTATACGTGGGATACTAATATACGACTCGTTAGATATTGAATTATTATGGTTTGATATACAACGTTTATGAACGAATGAATGAAAATAGTTCTTTGAAATGAATACTAATGGGAAAACGAAACCAAGAACAAGAAAGACTGTTTTACAATCAAGGAAAACTTATGCAATGGATGTCCTGATTACTAAATTCAATTTTAGCCAGGCACCCTCTAAGTTGATATGTATACAGCGTGTCGTTACCATCGCGACAATAAATGAACACACGTCTAAATCTACTTGCCAATAATCATAAAAAATATTAACGTTAAACAAAATCCATAATTAAAAAAAATATTTTTCAAACAAACTAATTAAGTAAAAAAGAAACAAAATTTGTAACATCCTATACAGCTCGCGCCACAGCGTCGTATTACAAGCCTCTCCTTCTAACAGTATGTTTTGTCTCTTTAAATTCATTCAACCCATTCATATGCTTTGTGACCTTTACAAATGAACTTTACGTTACGCTTTTATAGGTAAGGGTGTTCTAAAATTCTTTGTTTTGAAAAATTTAATAACTCCCTAAAAATTGATGTTTAAAGAATTTAAATGTTTAATACAACTTTAAAAAGTTATCCCTTATATGTATGTTTATTTATTGTCGCGATGGTAACGACACGCTGTATAATGAGTTTGAGTCTCACCTTACAATTTTCTTGCGTATCCTGTCTGTGAGACTCTGACGTTTGTAGATGTTCAGCGCTAGCCGTTTCCTAAGTATGAGATCCATTGGGGCGGGGTGCGACAGTCTCACGGTCGTTTTTAATATCAGGTACACGCGTTCGTTTGCTGAAAGGACATTAGTTGGCTATACGTACACCGAATACAACAAGGCTGAAACCGTAATTCATAAAATGAAGTAAATTATATTTATATCGCGACGAACTAAGTATGCAGCAGATTAAAATAATTTCTAAATAATTGATAGTTTTATAGCAAGCAACATTAATAAGGAGCGAATTTTATTTTTATATATTATGTAATGCATTACATTACGTAAATTTTAAAAAATAGTCACATCGGATCGGAAATTTGATCATTATGAAATTGGAGTTTTACGAAAACTAATCATATCATCAGATTTTCTGATTCAACATCAAAGCGTACATCATATATTCACCGATGGTACACCTGCTAAATACAACAGGTAGAATAGTTTGAAATGTAAGTTGAGACAACTATTGGATTGAAACAACAACTGATGGGATTCGAAAAATCGATTTCCAAGAAGAATTAATTTACTGAAACCCTATTTTTATATTATTATACACTTATTAAATAATATTTTTCATAGAGATAGAAAAATATAGGAAGACTCCCGAAAAATGGCACAGGCGTGTCGCGTCCAGTTCGTTTCTCACATCCATCGTATGGGCGCGATGGATGTGAGAAACGAACTGGACCGCTACGAGCTTGAGATATGCTTCTGAGGATATTGTTGCATACTGCAACATCTAGGGTCGTCATTTGATAGTTCGTTGGCCGTAGAAAAGTGGCCGAATAGGAAGGCGCGCCTTATCTGGAGAGGGGAATTGCTGCCCGAGAAGCGTGCGAAAGCGTTCTCGTGGCCCTGTCGCTATGCGCCCTAGGTGGAACATCGTGCGGGTTTTAGTCGGTGCGAGTCTGACATAACTCAACATAATTTTAGGTGTGGTTGGGCCACGCAACAGCGTACACTGTTGCACGAATGGGCAGGTCCGTCCAGATAAGTAACACGACCTCACAGAAGACAGGCATAAAGTGAAATAATAACAACACTTAATAACGCTTCTAGTGTTACACTTCTGCGTTTCGTCTGGCTAGTGAGGTAGTCGGGCCCACTTTATTCAAAGGTGGCAAGGTGGCAACATTTGCAACCCTACGGATGTTGCAAATGCTCATGGGTGGCGGTTATCACTTAACATCAGGTGGACCGTCAGCTCGTTTCCCCCTTTCTTAAGAATAAAAAATGCCGCATACATTTCCGTTAACAAAAAAAAAGGGGCCGTCACAATAACGAGAGCACTCACGCTCGGTGATGCGGTTGAGGTACTGCGAGTCGTGTATGGAGGAGTCCCAGGAGGCGACGGCGGCCACGTCCTTGTCGTGGTGATGCAGCAGGTGCAGCTCGTAGAAGCGGTTGCCGTGCTCCTTGGGCAGGATCGAGTGCAGCCCCGCCACCGTCACCTCCTCGCCGGACGGGTGCGTGCTCAGGTCGTCCGCTGCGCAACGTTATTTATTTATTTATTTATTTATATATTTCAACTTTGTTGATACACCTCAACCTGGGGGCTACAATGGACCGACTTGACGACATTTTTAGACATGTCAACTTTATTTCTACACCCCAATCTAATGGCTACAATGAGCAGACTTGTCAGGTTAAAAAGCAGATGGCATGTGCTAGTCGAAGAGTATAAAAGAGTAAACAATTTTGCTTTCAAATCATGCACTATATTAAAAACGACCCCGACACTTTTATTTTCACATTTCCGATAATATGGTCATCCACAATGCGCAAGGGACTTCTTTGAGAACTAAATATCTCGGAATTTTACCTCATGTATAAATAATGTACGGACATAATTAAACTTAATCGATTTGCACGGGCCTAAAGTGATATTAAAATAAACAAAGTACCATTTAAATCCAAAAATAGAACTGGTATGTGCTGTTCCATGCCGGGGGGCGGGCTCCAGGCAGCTGGTGCTCCTGGTATGGGACTTCCAGGACTGGGAACCAAAACCTGGAAAAAACCCAATTCAATGGTTCTGTCACCAAACTCCCGATAACCCATAAGTCAGACAAAACAACAGCTAATTTATAAGCTGTCACGTCCTAAACGGGTTTAGAAATGATGCCAAATAACTTCAGGTTATTTAACGGAAAATTGACAGGCTAGCAATTAAAGTGTCTACCGGCATACACTAGAACAGCGGTGGCAACCAAAGCACGTGCGCGATGAAAAATTTTTACAGCACGATGGGTTTTTTCAAATTTAACTGTTTTCATTTCGGACAAATATCAGCTATAAAAGATAAAACAAATGGCCAGCTAGGATCCCCTTTTGCTCAAGAAATGCTTTTATAATCCAAAGAAAACGAAATTATAATTTTTGCGGTGATTCCAGTAATAAAGCAGGCGACTCGACAACGACGGTTGAAGGTGAGTGCCCTTTGTTCCACTAGACTATGCGAGACCCAGACAAAACTCCAGACACACCTTCTATGCACAGCGGAGCTGCCGCTGTGCATCGAAGGTCACCCCAACAATTAGTTACTTTAAAATTAATTTAATGTGGTTAAAAAAATTAAAGAAAATGGTATTTTAAATTACTGTTTGTAATTTTGCATTACATATCAAGCGTGGGCGCGGAGTTGGCAACCACTGCACAATCATTCTGTTCAATATCCTATATTGAACTTAATGATTTGAAAGAGAAGAATAGAATAAAATAGGCGAAAACACTCACAGCGTTCCGTTCTTCTGTCAACGAGACCCATTGCTCGACGAGTGACTGCTCTCTCTCCATGTCGCGTTCGCTTTTCATGGACGGCGACATATTGACTAGTTTCTGAATGGAGTAAAAACATTCTTCTTTATTTCCTATATTATCGTTGAAACGTCTCTAAGTGATGGTTAACTTGAACTTAACATGTTCACACAATATATTTAGATTTGTTCTGTCGCGAAGATCAGAATAGTTCATCACAGCCATAGCAAATAAGTTAAGCGCCACCCAGCTGAAAAGATAATGTCCAGCGTGCAATAACATTTATTATGTTACGGGATTATTATGTTGATATCATAGGAGATAAATTACATAATATTTACTATATTGTACAATAAATTTTTACAAGAAATAAAATTTATTTATCACTTCATTTATAAGTGTCATTTGAAAAAAAAATTTTTATTTCATTCGGTCGTCGGATTCTACTAAACATTTGAAGAACTTACAGACCCAACTTCGCTTAGGTTCCCACAAATGAGTTTTGCTCGCCCCATATAATGGTCCACGAGTTTGAATGAACATAGAATGTTCATTCAAACTCGTGGAGTGGAGACTGATAGATAGATATAGCGCAGCGCCGTTGTAATTGATTACATTCAAATTACTCGAAGACACTCGAAGTTCACACTCGGTCGTCGAGGGATACTCGGGAGACAATCTTCGGGCACTCGCAAGACAATGACAGAGTCGCCAAGAGTTACAAAGTAAACCCGTTTTATTATCCATCTGATACCAAGAGTCACAATATGCAACTATGTTAATTTCTTTTCTAGTGCTAATCTCTGCAGTTAAGATTGAACTCTTCTACAAGCGTTCACCTGCAGCTGGGCGTGCAGGTGTTGCCTCCGACGGGCTAGGGCCTCGCTCCAGCGCTCCCGCAGCACGGCCAGGTCCTCCTCCTGGTACGAGTCCAGCGGCTTCTGGAGGCGCGATCTATAACATTGTAACGACGAGCATATATCAAAGTGCCCACTTTTAACCGTGGTAGATAGAGAACTATGATAGAAACGGTAATAAAGAAATTAAATTAGCTGTTAAATAAGTTTGGTTATTATATTAAACAGGTTGAATTATTCAAGTGGGCGTGGAAAGTCAAAGGTGCTAAATAGCGATAATACTCGGGCGCAATTTTGGTTAAAAATGATACTAGATGTTTTTTTTTGAAAAATCAGCACTCCTATCCAGGAATCGAATCCGTTGATTTTGGAAACAATACACATTTATTATGTAACATTCATTACTTTCAAAATGTTGCTAATAAGGATCAAATTGTGGCTAGTGTGATGACATACAGCAACTTTAGGTAAATATTGATTATAAACAAGTCATATAAAAATTCATCTTGTATATTTTTCAAGGTGAGCAGAAATACTAGAGAAATCATAAAAGTCACCGTTCAAAATAATATGTTAAATAATCAACTCAATACAAGCATGAATGAGTACTTAAATACCACTATTATATACTACTATCATCCACACAATGACTGGCCACCAGGAAAATTAAAAAAGAAAAAAAAATTTCGCACGCAGTAAAGCACTGGCCAGTTGGAGATAGGGGAAAAAAAAGAAGAAAGTTACCTGACGGTGACGGAGCCGACCTCTACGCTGACAATATGCTGGCATATAATGGGCAGCGTGCCCGAATTCTGTGCGGGGCGCACCCGCACCGCCACTCTCCGCTGCTGCCCCTGCCGCAGTTGGTACACGCCGCCTGTCACCATGTCGCTGCGCTGCGTCACCTGCCCACCGCACACACCATCATTCAATCTCTCCACTCCATAATACATCATTATAAAAATATTGATATTTCTTTATACTTGGTTTTATTTAATTAAATATAGTTTAAATTAGAGAGGATTATTGATGCTATTTATTCATGAAAACCTAATATGTTTTCATGAATAAACAATGGTCAAATTTTAAAAAATTTCCAACATAAAAAGAATATATTGTAATAGATACATATCCGCAGGACAGTTCAGAGCACTAGCGCCTATCCCCATAAGAACTCCCACACTTTTTTCATTTCTTTACATTATTTTATTTTGATGTCGTTAAACCAGTCAACGTCGACCCGCATCGCAGCTCGAAAGGCAACGAAGGAACGGTCCGTGCACGCACCTCCACGGGCGCGTACTCGCCGTTGTCGTTGAGCTCGTGGATCTCGACCCAGAGCTGGATCTTGCGCGTGAGCTCCGCCCAGCGGTCGGCGAGGGAGCGCGCCTTGGCCAGCTGCCGCTGCTCCACCTCCCAGTTGCCGCGCGCGCGGCTGAACCCCGCCGAGCGGTGGCCCCACACCTCGATCGAGAGGGCGCCCTCTGTTGATGGAAAGCGACACGTTTTTTTTAGAGACAAGCTAACGACATCCTCGACAATGGAGCCTGCAAGGACGCTAGGAACGGTTATTCTAGTTAATCTCAACTAACGGATGTGTCATGAAAATACAAATATTCCCACATTTAAAGCAGCCCGGAGTGTTGCAGCCGTTTCTGATGAGTCAACTACACACTGCAATAAAGACTGACGAACTTAGGTATGTATAGTATTCGTAAAATGGTACAAACGAAAAAAATATTATATCGATAGCGAATATTGTTGTACAAACAACACTGTGCTGATGATATCAGTAAGCGTAGTGCAATCCCTCCAAACGGGTTCCTGCCTTGTAGCGGCGGAGAGCTTACTAGCCCCAACTTGATCTGCAACCGGCGCACCATGAAGCCGAAAGGAACCTACACAAGGCCGGCATATGGGCCCGGAAGTGAGCGAGGGTGAGGGGGGGGGGGGGGGTTAGTTCTCCATTCAAAATCGTCCGTGATACCGACCGGCGCAGTGCTCGACGAACTCCTCGGTGAGCGGCAGCCTGAAGTCGCGGCGGTGGTCGAAGCGCACGGAGAGGTGGTGGGGCGGGCCACGCGGCGAGGAGGGCCCGTGCGGGGCGGGCGGCTGGGGGGGGGCGCGGGGGGCGCCGCGTCCGCGCTCACCAGCGGCGCCACCACCACCGGCTCGCCGCCGCCGCCCGCGCCCCACAGCGAGTACTGGCAGAACACCGAAGTGCGACAGCGACGGCGGCAGCCCGGTCGCCTGCTTGATCGCCACGCGGATCGTCACCTGCCGCAAACGACGGATTAGGTAAACGGTACAAGTAAAGTAAAGCATCAGCCTATACATGTCTCACTGCTGGGCAAAGGCGGACTTTACATATCTTCGAAATATTTTTTTGTTATTATTTCGAAAATATGCAGGTTTCCTCACGATGTTTAGCTTCAACGCTGAGTACGTGATACTGCCCATGTATCATGAGTAAAATAAACAATTTCAATGGTTCCGGCACAGGAATCTAAAAAAGGTTGAAAAAATTTTAAAAAAAAATTCGTAAGTATGTGAAGCTCTCCAATCCGTAGTGCGGTCGCGTGGTGGACTGTGCCCTAATACCTTCTATAGTTCCTAATACCTTCTATAGTGAGGACGAGGCCTCCCGCCCAGCAGTGAGACTTTTAGAGGCTGTTACTACTTACTACTATAATCTCTTTTAACTAAAACGTTGCATAGTGCGGCGGGGAAATATTAGATCGTAATGTTCTTACGTGATTTACTCAAAAAGTTACATATATAAAACATAGCATTTCGCTGCAACCTCAAACCCCTTTTTTTGTTTACGTGGGGGAAATGCATACGCATACCCGCTCTCGCGGGGGCAAGAGCGGGCTATGTCGGACTCGCACCGACTAAAACCCCCACGATGTTCCACTTAGGGCGCATATCGGCAGGATCACGGGAACCCCGAACCCCTAGCTCGTAACAATAGATAATCCGTGACCGTAGGGTTGTCACAATGATATAATCACTTTACAGGGATGTAATGTAAACGTGCGCACCTGTTGCGAAGCAGGGTCCAGGGGCTCGTCCTCGTCGCGCATGTCCCCCGAGCTGTCGGAGGCCGCCTCGCAGATCCTGTCCTGCGGGAACTGGCCCGACACGCGGCTTATCTCCACCTGCCGGTCACATTTGTTTATTTACTAGCTGTGCCCGCGACTTCGTCCGCGTGGGAATTTTAAATAAATAAAAATAATCTAAAATAAAAGTAGCCTAAGTTACTCCTTATTACATCAGCTATCTGCCAGTGAAAGTTCCGTCCAAATCGGTAAGCCGTTTCAGAGATTAGCCGGAACAAACTTTTCATATGAACATCGACATTTCGAACGCACATCCACAGTCTCAATCAAGTCATCAATTAAGAAAACAATAATACAGAAAGAGAGAGAGAAAGAGAGAGAAAGAGAGAGAGAGACATATCATTTAATTCATATAAAACTAGTAGGGACAAAAATTACCTGCAGCCTTCCAGCTACCTCTCCCTGCTGGCTGATGATGGGCGTGTGATAATCCAGTGTGACGTCATGAAAGAGCGCCTCCAGGAAGATGTTAGCCACGCCGATCAAGTTGTGGTTCTCCTGGGACTCATAGAACGGGTCCAAGGCCTTCTCAGCCGGCTCCTGCGATACACGAAATTTACTTTCACTTTTTGTGACCGACACTCGAGTTATAAAACAATCCGTATGCGGCGAACGAATGATAAATATATAAAAACCCAGAACAATTTACGAAATGTAATTTGCATTGTTAACCTTAGCCAATATCCGTCAATAATATAACATGAATACATTTTGGACAGAACTGAAATTGTGATTCGTCAAAATATTAATTTTGTTTTCTATTGGGAGTATGTTACAATTCGCTATTCTCTCGTAACTCTCTTATATCTCTGTGTATATGCTGATTACGAAAAAAAAATTGTGTCTAGTGGTAGAATGAGCAATGTAAATATGAAAAGTAAAAATATTGCATGAATCATTAATTTTATTGCTTCACCCTTCAAATAAAACATAATCATAATAAAGCATTCCCCCCAACATAATACCCCTATCGAGTCTTCGTATACTGCTTGCTTTACCTCTTCTCATTATAGTAATGAGAAGAGGTAAATTAAGCATCATTCTAAGATAACCATTATTTGGGAAAGGCATTCAAAAAGTACAGACCACTTTGTAATACATGCTTTTGAAGTATTTCACCTCATGATACGTTTTTACTGCTCATTTAGAAGCATCCGTGTAAGAATTAAATATTTACTAATAGATTTCGGACCGCACAATGAATTTATAATGTCTCGGCCGTAAATAATCTTTTAGAGCTTAAGAATAAGCCCCGTACGCTTTAATCTAAGTATGCAATTAAACCTTTAAAAATATATACATATAAAAATGAATGGTCTCACGGTAAAATAATGCAAAGGTTAGTTAGTGAACGTGCACCAAAGCGAAGCATTATATCATATAAATCTCTAAATGAAAAACACAACATCGTCAAAATAAAATATCAAAACTATGATGTATTAAACGCAATAAGAGATGAACCGCATGCATAAATGTATGTTGAATACTATTATATTTTTTTATTAATTTTAAATTTTTGAATCCTTGTAATGAATCCAAACAAAGTAAAATTAAATAAATACACAAAATAGTTTAAAACACGTGAAAATAAATGGGATGAGTTCCAAAACTAGAGTATAAAATCGAAACATTTAAAAAGTGGAAATGTATTTATGGCTACAAGGAATTCAAACGCACCGTTGGTGACTCCGCGTCTATATGCTCTGGCTCCTGAAATTTTCATAAGTTTGAAGCAAACATTGACAAAAGAATTACAAATTTATGCTACACATATTAAGCGAAACTGGAATACAATCAAACATCAAAGTTTTGTCACAGTTTGGTGGGTTTTTGGCTATGCTAGTTAATTTATTTAAATTTTGGGCATTTTATTCTTCTTGACATTTCATTCCCAATGTTCCTTATAAATAAATATTCTAAAATAGTTATAGAAAATTATACAGCGTGTCTTTACCACCACGACAATAAATGAACACACGTCTAACGCTACTTGCCAATAATCATAAAAAATATTAACGTTAAAAAAATCCATAATTAAAAAAAATATTTTTCAAACAAACAAATTAAGTAAAAAAGGAACAAGATTTGACAACTACAACTGACTAATTCATACATTCAGAGACTTTTTCATTGGTTGCATTTGCCGCATTACAAGCCTCTCCTTCTAACGGTATGTTTTGTCTCTTTCAAATTCATTCAACACATTCATATGCTTTGTGACCTTTACAAATGAACTTTACGTTACAGTTTTATACGTTATAGTAAGGGTGTAGTAAAATTCTTTGTTTTGGAAAATTTAATAACTCTGTAAATATTGATGTTTAAAGAATCTAAATGTTTAATACAATTTTAAAAAGTTATCTTCTATATGTATGTTCATTTATTGTTGCGATGGTAAAGACACTCTGTATAATCATGTATTTAAGTGCGCTTACGATCAATTTATATGTTTTAGTCTGAATGTGTTAGAGGTTTTAATAAAATGTACTGATGTTCACCGATTGCATTGGATCAAGTTCCTTAATAATTTTCACTTACTATCCCAATATTTCCTTTCAAATTTTCCTTCAAGTGTTTTGGAGATTCTTTTTTTTTTAGATACACAAATTTACTATACGTTAAGTGTCGTGACCGAAGCCAGATTGCCAAACCTGAAAAACTCTACGAACATTTTTGGCCATGAACTTGGGCTAATTTCGTTAATCGTATACAATTATCAGTATTCATATACGAAATGTATTCCATTGTATCTGTTGATAAAATTCCTATATCTGTTTTGTGATATTATGAAGTAGTCTTTAGTTGTTTGAGTTCGTTTAGCTTGTGCACTTCAATGATGATATTATCGTATTAATTAATTGCATTAGGTGTGCTTGCGTCCTTTCGGAATCGATTGAAAAAGAGCGCCCGCGTGGGTGAAAGTTGAAGGAAGCTTGTTTTAAATGTTTTGCGTACTAGACCGTTCAATACCTCTATTTTATAATAATTAATATTGAAGAAATATTTTATTTTTAAGAAATAATCAACGAGCAAACCTGAAACGTTTATCTGACCGTTAGTCATTACTGTCGCCTACGAGCATCGTCAGCACCGTATGGTAATAGAAGTGTCCATTTTTCTATTGTAGTAAGTTACAATTTAACCTTTCTGAAATGTCTATAAGCCACGACTTACCAGACCCTACCTCGACAAAGCAGTTTTACACCGGACCGCCCCGTTCGAGGCTAGTAACTCGGCCTAACGGGAAACCGGCATGAGGTATATTTCGATGACCCCCATGGCACAGTTCTTAAGGTATTGGCTCGGCTCTGTGGTTCGTGGGTTCGATTCCCATACGGCACTACTTTTGCGACTCACACATTATTGTTTTGGTGTTTGCCCACGTGAAATTTATGTTCGTATTCTATTGTTATCCTACAGTATGGGCAATGTTTAAAATAAAATAAAAAAATATCATACTTCTGCGTTTCGTCTGAGTGTGAGTTGGCCCATTGTTTGTAAGGGTGGCGAAGCATATCCAACCCAGTAACGTCTTCTAGATATCCATTTGTGAACCGCATGATCGCTTGCCATCTCGTAACATTAAAAAAAAAACGTCCGCACCTCTTCTGGCAGCGCGTCCCCGCTCTGCTGGCGGCGCCTCCACTCGTCGTACATGTCGCGCATGTCCACCAGCTTGTTGTCGAGCTTCTCCATGGACCACACCTGGCCGCCGCGCCCCGGCCGCCGCACCATTATGGCCGGCTCCGACACGAAGGCGCCGCGCTGCTCGAGCGAAACGCGTACTTATTTGCTTGCAACATAGGGTTGAAATTGGCCCGTACGCAGGTGAATTTGCGATAGATTGCCAATCGTTCGACTAAAATCTCGCCTTAGCGTAAACGCTGATGTTAATGTAGATAAAGAGCGTACTATTTTTATAGGAAGCGACGATAAGTGGTAGTTTCTTCTGCGTTTATTCCGGTAAATTACTCAAACGGGGTCCAATCTATTAAAAGGTAGCGACGTATCTGCAATCCTACGGGTGTTGGGAATGTCCATGGGCGGTGGTAATCACAACAATCACAACAACCAACACACCCCACCACACTTGCCACCTTTTCACATAAAAAAAAACAAAAAAAGACATCATATACAAATCTGACAGAGGCGGATATTTTGGAAGTGATTTTGATACATAACGAAACTTTTTGATCTCCATGAATGAGGTCTGAATATTAATTGACTTTCATTCGTTGACCGAGAGGTGGTTGTGGGCGCGAATGAAAAATCACGACTTGAACAATCGAGGTTTGAGGTATTTCTAAAAATGTCCTATCCTCAAAAGTGGATCGTTTCAAACTGGAGCGTCCGACACGTAGCGCAAAGAAAGTCGTACAGAACCAACTGCCAATTAAAAATTGTTTTTTTTTTTTTTTTTGCATTTTTTTTTAATCCGTAGAGCGGTTGCGCGCGCACCTTCCTGTTGGGCGAGAGGTTCTGCGGCGGTATCTGCAGCGTGACGCTGAAGCGCGTGTTGCGGCGCATCTCCTCCGCGAGGAAGTTGGCCTCCTGCACGAGCGCGTTCGCGCGCAGGATGTCCGCCTTGAGCCGGCCCAGCGACCGCTTGAACGTGTCGTCGCGCTCCGCCGCCCAGCGCTCCACGCGCGCCGCCGTCGTGGGCGTGCACGCCGCCATCTTGCCTGCGCAGCGCAACTTTTAATTATAAGCTTAAGAGATACTCACACAAGCGCACATGCACATTGCACGTGTGTGCAACCGACGGCTTATAAGATCTTAACACTCGCACACGCGCACTCGTCGACGTGTGTCGAAACCAACGGCACAAGACATTCGCAGACTCTTACACGCGCATTCGTTGACGAGTGTGTGTGCATCAGACGGCCTAAAAGACTATCAGAGACTGACACATGTGCATACGCCGACGTGTGTGAAACACAGCTTAAAAGACTATCAGAGACACGCGCGCATTCGTCGACACGTGTGCAACCGACAACTTATACAACCACAAGACACACACGCGCACATGCCAACGTATGCATCCTAATTTGAAGTGGGCATATAAATAACTTAGAACGCAGACAGATGTATCGTAAAATCATGTTTATTCTTGTTAGAATGTTTCGGACACATACACATCTTTACCACTGTTATGTAACGCCTTAGTGTTAACAAGTCCATATTTTCGTTGGGAGAGTCGAATTGAGAACCAGATTTTTTGAAAAGAGTTTTAGTAATCGCGAACAGCAGACAAATCGGACGATAGCCAAATACGATTTCTTTTAATATCCCATAACGACATGAAAAAAGGAAATTGATGTCCACTAACCCAGTTTTAAGGGATCGTACGAATACGGCGGATATGGCGTGGTAGGTGACAGGATATTTCTGAGCTGCTGGAACTGACGCTCGTACTCCTGTCTCTGTTTCTCCAGCGCGACTGAAAATTTAAAACAAACATATAATATCGTCACGAGACATACCATACAAGTGATATATGAAAATGATTATGAAATGAGTTATAACTACCAACTATTTACGGCAAATTATTCAGAGATTTGATTTAATGAGCAATTCTATTAAACCCCTTAAAATAGCAAATTCCTAAGACAACAAAGCGCGAACACTGAGTCAACTGCCGAGTTTTCTTTAGGCCAGACTTCAAACAGTTTAGTTATGCACCCTTTGCCCTTAAGGCTTTCCTTGGCGTATCGTTTTCCAACAATACAAAGTAACAGACACATACACATATTCCACTGTTGTACAAAGGCCTTCTTTGCACAGAGGGTTTTTGTGAGGACATTTCACAAACATAAACTTCACGTGGACAGATCTGAAAAAAATATTTGTGAGTCACACAAATAGTTTTCCCGTACGGGAATCGAACCCACGACCCCGCGCGCCGAAGCCACCTTTGCAATTGCGTCACCAAATTTTCGACCAATAATTTCTCCCGAAAATTTGTCGACGATTTTTTTTTTGTAAGAGTTGCAGACAACCGGTGGATCGTCCGTTAAAGCGTTCTAAGAGGAAGGCCTATGGTTAACAGTGTACGTCTTGCGGCTGCGATAATGATGTTGATGATTTGTTGACGTCCACTGCTGAACATAGGCCTCCTCCAGCGATTTCGATAAGAATTTGGTCAGATTCAGGTCAGACGCGGCCTGCATCCGTCGAAGTTCCTCGACCACAGTCAGGTCAACACACAAAGGTCACAGGTTGAAATTATGATGATGATGATTTCTCTAGGTCGCTCAGGTCGCTCACCCTGCTTGTCCTCCTCGTGCTGCCGCTCGAGCCTCGAGATGGCTGTCTGTATGGGGTCGTTGCTCAACTCGTTCAGCATGATCTCGTCGCGAGCGAAGTTGTAGTCGATCGGCTGCGCCGGCGTTTGCGGTTCCGACGCCGCCGCCGCTGAATAAGTAACAAAAGTCGAGTAAATATATAATATACTAGCGGACATATAGACTTTGTCCTGTACACTTAGATCTTAATCCGACAACAACTTATAAACAAAAAACTTTAAAAAAAAACACTGTAGTGCACATTGTCTAAGCCATTCTCGAATCTACCTGAAGACACACAAAAAAAAGCTCATATATTTTGGACTGTTGGGCAAGGGCCTCCACTGTATGGAAAGAATACATTTTACTTCATTGATGTAGATTATTCACACACAGTTGTCGTTAAAAAAGTCTAGACAAAGGTCAAGAACCTCAGTCCTTTTAGTAAAGTGATAACCACAAAAAGTGCAACAAAAAAAAATCCTCGGGATACTTGACTCTACGGGACATGATTGGTCCGTGGGCCAAAGGATCAACTGGGTGTCCTAAAAAAGTAGACATCGTTAGCGAGTATCACCTGTGCCCTTGGGGCAGTTGACCCTGAAGAAGTGGTGGTTGCCCCAGAGGATGCGGTCCGCGTGGCCGAGGCGCACCTCGTCGGCGACGGGGGCGCCGTTGACGAAGCAGCGCGCGCCCGCCAGGGGGCGCATGTGCAGCACGCCGCCCTCCAGCCGCAGCTCGCAGTGCTGCGGCTGGATGCCCAGCCCCGACAGCTGGATGTCGGCCGAGCTGTCCGCGCCCACCAGGGTCCGCTCCTGACGAGATGATCGTTTAGTTGGCGTGAACGTAAACCGGACACGTCGTGGACAGAGTATGTCTATTAGCCCGATCCCGCTCGATTGGGGTGATGTACGCCATGGTCCTTCGAGCCAGATATGTCATGGAGAATTTGAAAGTAATTTATCACTATACATATGTAAACAGTATACAGGGCGATTTTTTAGTCGAAGCCTACATAGGTACTTTGACATAATATTAATTGAGCATTCCATAATTCAAAAAAAATATTAATATTTTATTTTAACAAGAAATAAAAAAAGATAAACATCTTAACGCTCCCGTCGCTATACATACTTGAGAACATCATGTATGTACGAAATAACTTACACCATTTTACAAAAAAACATACCACATCGCGTCGGGGCCGGTGACACGTTGGAAATACCGAGGTTTAGACTAGCTAAAACCAGGAAATCGTTTCTTGGTAGATGTATTAACTTATATAATAGAATAGGTAACATCCACAAACAATTAAGTTTAAATAATTTCAAATATTTTGTAAAAGCCACCTTAATGGAAAGGGCTTATTATAATGTCAAGGAATACATTGAGGACAAGGATGTGTAGAAATGACTCTTGCTCTGCACTTGCAAGTCCCCTGGCTCCTGCTAAATTATTCTAAAATAATTTTGTGTGTATACTTAAATACTTAAAAAAAATGGAAATAAAATATAAATATATGACCGCAGAGTTTCTTGCCGGTTCTTCTCTTGCAGGTCTAGTTTAGTGAACCGGTGGTAGTTTTGACGTTCAATAAGAGCTTAAAATAAGCCTATGTTGAATAAAGAAATTTTGACTTGACTTGAAAAAAATAACCAGATAAATATCAAATGAAACATTGTTTGTTTATCCCGTTAAGAGTTGTCACCCTATTGATAATTAATAAATTTAGAATCAAATTCTGCATATGCTCAGTTAATACGTCCGTTGTCTATAAAATCACCCTGTATACCTTCCCATTATAATTTAGTGCGCTATTGCTGAATTTATAAAATTATAAGGACTTGTTATAAGTCGCCTTACAACCTTCAAGTAGTACACAAGGAGCTCGTTGAGGGACGGGTCTGCGTTGAGATTGACGAGATAGTACTTGTTCTTCTCCACTTTGATTCCGCTCGCCTGCACGCTGATACCCATCTTCTCTAAAGCATGCTGCCTCTCGCTTTGTATTCGACCTGGCCAAAAGAAAACCTTAAAATTTCTAAATGTAAATGGTATGATGTAAGATTCATTATTTCATTAGTCGTGTAAACATTTTATCTATTTCCTTTTAGTTTTTCGAGGTAAGTAAGACGCATTTTAATAACAGGAGATTTTATCTACTTACCGGTTTCCACAAGTTTCTCTTCCCATGTCCTCGACATTTCTTTCATCAGGTGTTCGCTCTGAGCCAGCTGTTCGTGTACATCTTCGCCAACGGGCGAACCCTATGGAAAATTTCAATATTATACTCTACATTTTAAGCCGCGTCTAATCGTTCTTATACACTAGGGATTATTTTGCCATATTCTTTTTAGAGTATATCCAGGCAGAAGCATTTTAATAGACGGACCTTATCGGGGGAAACCCCTCACAGCAGACAGGTGTAATATATCCAAGGGCCCTTAGGAGTATTGTGAATCTCAATGACCAGCGGTAATCATCAGGTAAATTAAAAACTTGCTCGGTGGGTTCTGGTATCAAAATACACTATGCTAGGGTCACACAACAGTCTTCGCTGTTGCACGGGCGTGAGACAGAAGTATAATACTTCAGCGTTCCGTCTAGTGAGTGAGGTACCCGGGGCCCACTTATAAATGGCTGCCAACACATCTGCGACCCTACGGGAGTGGCAAATGTCCATTGGCGGCGGTAATCACTTAACATCAGGTGACCGCCAGCTCGCCCATTTTTTTTTTACATAAAAAAGATGCAAATGAGTAATTCATGTTAATTATACATGATGTATGATGATGTTTAGATGACTCCGTGGCGCAGTCGCCGAAGCATTGCTTGATGGGGTCGTAGGTTCAATTCCCACACGAAATACCTATTGGTTGTGACCCATATATAATTGTGTCGGATCTGGGTGTTTGATCACGGGAACGTTTCATATGTAAAACGTCCATACAACATAGGATAATGCTATCTTACAGTAAAGAAGCAATGTTTTCGAAGGTAAGACTATAATACATCTTACATACTATCCCTTCCACACTAAATACATATGCAATATATAAGGGATGTTTTTACCGTGGCGTGCTTGAGCATCTCCTTGAGAGCCTCAACCTCCTGTCGTAGCTCGCGGATGATTCGCGCATTGGGATCCTCGTTGACCACCGCGTGGTTGACGATCCGCTTGGCGCGGTCGGCGTAACGTAGAGTCGAAAGCGTCTCCTCGTAGTTGTCCGCCGCCGGCGACAGAGTAGCAACCTGAACACGTGGGATATTACTTATGTTGATTTGCCATTCCGTTGACGATTAACCAGTGGTTTGAATCAAATCAAATGAAATCAAATCATTTGTTCATCGAAATAAGAAATATACATTTTATTTATCGATAGTCATTTTTTCATTTAGAAATCTTCACCACCGTTTCGTAATGAGATTCCTCTAACGGAGAAGAAACAGGCGAAAGAAATTCCGTAGGTATCATCCTTTTTTGTCATTTTTTTTTCTCAAACAATTACAATGTTATACAGTGCATAATGTTTTTTTTTACAAACAGCTTGGGAGCGATCATCTCATTCCCAGGGGTTGTTATGAATGTTATGAACGTTCGGAAGAACGAATCGGAAGTTTAGGCTACGTAACCTCATTCACGCTACCTCAGGTGGTAATATATCCGCGAAGTTATTTCCGAAAAAACGCTGTAACGATAATTCTAGACAATAAAATATCTGTTAGATCAAAACTTTATCGCTTAATCAAGTTTAAATGATGGTAAATTAGAAAATGACTTGTTTGATATAAAAATCCATGACGATGAATAGTGATGCATTGAGACGATTACAAATAAACATTAGCATGAATGTATGCGCAATAACATGTTATATATTGCGATTACAACCTTCTCACTTAACAGAGTAGGTCTAATGTGTACTTACCATAACAGTTTTGCTATTGCCGCCGAGGTTGTCCTTCAGCAACCACGTTAGCACGGAATCTCTGTACGGCACGAATTTGTCCTTGTTGTTCTTACCCGACGATTGATCTGCGAGCTTGGATATTACGAGGCCCAACGTTGTTAACGATCTGCGAAGTGAATGAGTTCAATATTTAAAATGGTGTTCGACAAAGAACTGCCGCGCGCAACTATAGAACTTTGTTGAATATATGGAAAGGGCTAAGTAACGTTAGGTATTGGCGATTTTATTGGCGGATCTTGTAAAATCTCTGTGGTACGATACATCATCACTTGCTGCTGTATTAACACAGCAATCTTACACGAAAGAGGACACTCGGGACAAGTAAGTGTACGATGTTTAATTGAATTTATTAAATTTAACTACATGTCAGAATTAGCATTCATTATCAGGTGACAGGATAAGAAAGTTCTAACAATGAGTGTACAAATACTAGCCATCGGACATGTAACATATGAAAAGCAGTTAAATCAATCAATCAAATCAAATGCCTTTATTCAATATAGAAGCATTACACTTTCTTATTGATTGTCAAAACGCTACCACCGGTTCGGAAAGCCACTGACCTGAGAGGAACCGGCAAAAGACACTCAGCGGGACTATTTTTACCATTGTTTGTGAACATATAAGCTAAGCCCACGCGGTCTACTTCGCGGACGAGCTTTACTGTAAGATATTTTCCACTTCTATCAATAGTGAAACTTCACACGTTAACGCCGTTCTTTATACAAAATGTATACAATCGACCAATGCAACTCGATTACTTGTTGATGTTGGAGCCCTCCTTGAGCCTGTCGCCCACCGCGCCCGTCTTCACCGCCCTCTCGGAGCCGGCGAGGTCCACCAACGACAGCCGCGCCACCTTCTCGCCCGTCACCCCAGTGGCGGCGTCGCACAGCGTCTGCGTCAGCACCACGCTGAACACCGCGTGCGAGCGAGACGACTCGCTGTTCATGTTCGTCGCGGCGACGGTGCGCGACTTGTTGCCCTCCGTCATCAAGTTGTCGATGTCCTGGCGACGACAAATAATTAGTCAGACGAGAACAACCTTGCTGTATAAAATACCAGCGACCCTCCCCGGCTTCGCACGGGTGCAATGTGTTATTTTTTTTTTAAACACTGCCCTCACCTTAGGTTAACATTATCCTGTGTTGTTAGGACGTTTTACATGCGAAACAACTATCTGTGGGTCACACAAATAGTTGTCCCGTGTGGTAGTCGAACCCACAAACCTCGACGCCGAAGCCAATACCTTGGTAAATGTGCCACGAAGTCATCAAATTATACATATAAACCTTCCTCTTGAATCACTCTGTCTAGTAAAAAAAACAACCGCATCAAGATCCGTTGCGTAGTTTTAAAGATCAAAGCATACTTAGAGACAGACAGACAGCGGGACGACTTTGTTTTATACTGTGTAGTGATGACACGCATATTCAAGCAAAGCAAATCTGTATTTTGTGCTCCTTTGGACTGGATAATAAACAGGCAACTCCAACTTTTTTAAAAAGAAGAAAAAGAAGAAAGGGAAGATGTTCATCAATGGAAGATTTTTTTTATTATAACTAAGTTGGTTATTGTAAGTAATCATATAGCCTTATGAGTAGGCTCTGCTTTGAGTTCATTCCCCATACAGAACAAAAATGTGATCCATAAAGAGTTCCGTGTCCCGAGTCAGTGTGTGTACATTGTGTCTAAACTATTTCCCAGGGCGGCGGCCTCTTGTTTTAATAAATCAGCTCATTTCGTGAAAAGGTTGAAGTGGAAATGGCGTATAGAAACATTTAAATAAACTTTATTTGTTGTCGTGCTACAAAAGGAGGTCATTGCGGGTTTGTGAACTTAAAACGTCGAATGAAACATATATAATTTGCATGATTGCTGCGAAGTTACCATCTATGGGAAAACTTTTGGTATATATTAATTTACAATGTACCAATTCTAAGAAATCTAGCTCCAGCCATGACGTCATCATACGCTAATAAAATGCAAACGTCATAGCATTGATTTCACACCGCGTCTTACATACAAATGATTTTTCTTTTACAAAAAATATCAAGTTAATCTTCACGTCCCAATAAATGTATGAGAAGAGTATTGTTTAAGCAAATGACACACATATATTTAAAACTTATTGTATGAATTCCAAAAACTAATTAACTAAGTATGATATTTATTAATAAACCTGTTAAAAACCGACCTTATCATGATGATGCATAGCTTTAACAGCTTGAAAAATTAAGCTTTCTTTTCGAAATTATCTCTGACACTAATTACGTTGGACGGGTCGTTTTCACTTGTTTCTTTTTATGAGAAATGGGCATCTTTTCGCGTCACGCCAAGAAAATTAAGGACGAGAACAAGAAATTTTTATTATTTTGGTCACTTTCATAATTATTAAAAGAAAACGTTCGCAAAAGCTTTCACGCCTTTAATTCGTATTTAGTAGCAAACGGTGACAAGTAGTGTGCAAGTCACATAATAGACAGTCAATTAATTGCACACTATATTCGAACAAAGATGAAGTCATCGAATTAGGTACACACTTTTTTACTTTTTTAGTTACAAAATGTTATCTTAATCAAACCATATACTTCAGGCTATATACGAAGTTTACATCTTTTTTTTTACAACTAAATCAGAATCGAGATCTAGAAATGTGACAGAACCAATAGTTGTATGGCGGACTTTATATCTTTATCAAAATAATTGAGAATCTAAGAAGCCTCTTACAGCTTTAAAGTATTACACATACAACTTGACGCCTATTTTTCTTTTTTTATATTAGAGAAAATATTCTCTCACATTATAAACACAAATAAATTCGCAAAGATTATTAGATGTAAATAAAATTAATTCCACACGTAAAAAAAGAAGAACATACAGCGCCAATAGGAGGAAAGCAAACTTTTTGAGCGGCATAATTTTTCGAATCGTTAGCGGTAACAACAAACGTTCGCCGTATACGAACAGTCGTTTCGTAACCGGAACTTCCGTTTATTAGGCGAGGGGAGCGCAGGACGAAACACAAACCCAAACGGGGCCACGGCAATTCGGAGTTTGTGCACAAACTTGGCTTAAGGTTGCAAGGGGTGACGGCAACTTGCCGACTTTGTAGCGAGATTAAATTAGACCCGTGCTACGCCCCGAATTGTATTAACGCTGCTAGTTCTGACTGTCGAAGAGCGTAAGTCTGTCAACATTGCGAAAAGAAATTAAACTGAAATTCGGTGTTGTACTTACTGCAAAGTGGTATGTAACAGATTATTTGTTGCTTTTGTATCAACATCAACTAGCAAAGTTAGCAAAGTATTACAAAACATTTCAGCCCAAATCGCACGATTAAATAAATATAATATTAGGTTTACGGAGACTTTCATGAATAATGGATATGTGAGACATATATTACCGGACGATTGGGAGAAATATTTGCACAAGACCTTCATATGTATGCAGTCATGCTCGCTCGCTTGTTATCAATTTCCTCTAGTTCTCTTTCTATTCTCAAAAATATCTCTTCGAAAAAGTGGACTAAACTAATTTTATATTATGAATAAAACGAAATGTACTCCAACTTAATGATGTGTTTGATAAAAACAAATTTTACAAAAGGATGGCGATAAAGCCCTATTAAAATTGTAGATCGTTAACCCTCTCCTAACATTAATCAGTATGTTTAATCTCTTTTAAATTAATTCAACCAATTCATATGCTTTGTGACCTTTACAAATAAACTTTATAGTTTTTTACGTACAGGTGTTCTAAAATTTTTGTTTTGGAAAATTTTATAACTCGGTAAATATTGCTTCATACAATTTTTGTAAGTTATCCTCTATACGTGTGTTTATTTAAAGTCGCAATAGTTGCCGCCAGGCTGTATAAAAAGACTCTCTTGTTCAATCGCTATGTTGTGAACAAATATTAAGTCAACCCATCGGCTAGTTTTGTGGACACAACTATAAGGGAGCAAAATTTTTAGATATAATAAAAACAGCACCAATAGACATAATTTAAATTAAAGTCAAAACTCATGTTGACTTTGATGAGTTCAGCCTGGCCATCGTTCATCTTGTTTATTCATTCATTCAACGCGTTAGAATATTTTCCCCATCAGTACTCATAACAATTCAATATTCAAAAAATATTCTGCGCGGCGCCCCAGTAACTTTATAAATATAAATGAGATACCAATACGAAGAAATTCAGGACCTTTACGGCATTTCGATGATATACTACAACAAAACCGAATAAATATAAAAAGTTTTGCGATATTTGTTTGAACTATCTCCATTACTTGTTTATTTCGGTTTTTCTGTTAAAATAATTTTCGTTTCTAATAATGTTCTTACCAAAGTTACATTTCAAGATCTCGATTATAATAAAAAATAACAATGACCTCCTACAACAAACCGCATGCATAAATTCGAATAAGGAGCTGAACTTATTTGTATTTAAAATAACAAATAAATAAATATTTCAAGACATGTTTTAACACAACGTAACTCTAACCCCAAACTAAGCAAAGCTGCTAATATCGGAACTGGGTAATTAGAAAACATAATAAAACATAATTTTCTTTTGTACATGTCATATGAATAATAATATGTATGAATATACATAAACACCAAAAAAACATTATGTTCACATCATGCAATATTTTTAGTAGCGGGGTATTTGCCATCGTTTCGTTAACCATCATGTTCGCTTTCGGAGCCTGCTATAGCACCGTCCGATTTAAAGCCTAACCCTCGACGCACAATAACCTAACGAAAGCTTCCTTGCTGTACATAATGCTGTAATACTCCGAGTTATGCTAAATCCTTAAGAGCATTATCTGCAGCGCTTAAGCAGCACTTCGTTGGATTACGTGACTCTTCTTATTTCAGAGCAAGCAGTTCATTTATAAAGTATTTTTATACACTAACATTTTAATAATTTCTTGTATTTACGCGATTACACATTATAAATGAAACTAATTTTACGGATTTATCGCGTTTATTTTTTTTTTAATTTTAATTCCCGACGTTTCGAACCCTTTACAGCGTTCATGGTCACGGGACAGACTGAGGTGTTAGACGTCTGATTGTCATAGTTAACCCGGGCTACCGTCAGTTTTTGAATTATTAATTTTGTGTCCGATCTATGCAGAGGGAGCTAATTGTATCTTGTCTTGCAGTAGTGGTTCGTTTGGGCCTAGATTTAATTTTATTGATGACAGGATCCCAAGCTGATGGTAGTACCCAACCTTCTTCTCTATTGAAATTAGGGTGTTTTTTTAATTTCAATAGCCTCGCGAATCATCCTTGGGAGGAATCGGTGTTCTTTTGCAAGGATCTGTGGTTTGTCAAACCTGATGTAGTGGTTGGGCCTATTCAAAATGTGCTCACAAACTGCAGACTTGTTCAATCTATTGTGTTTTATGTCAGCTATATGTTCTTTCACGCGGGTTTTTATTGCTCTTTTCGTTTGACCTATGTAAGAGAGCCCACATTCACAGTCAAGTTTGTACACTCCTGGATCTTGCAGAGGGATATTACACTTGACAGATGGTAAAAACTGACTAATCTTCTTCAGCGGCTTGTAGAATGTATTAATTGAAGCCTGCTTTAAGATATAGCCAATCTTGTCGGTGACTCCTCTGACGTATGGTCGGGTTAACTATGACAATCAGACGTCTAACACCTCAGTCTGTCCCGTGACCATGAACGCTGTAAAGGGTTCGAAACGTCGGGAATTAAAATTAAAAATAAACGCGATAAATCCGTAAAATTAGTTTCATTTATAACACTAACATTTTCATTAAATTAATCATGAATATAATGAAGGCCATAAAATGAAAACAGAATTGGCACATGAATGATTCTCAGAGAAATAGAAGTAAATAGCAATGAAGGGCACTGAAGGGAAAAAATTCATGAATCTTTTTTTTTATTAATTAGTCTCTTTTTATACTTTCAATTTAAATATTCAAGGACCCCGACTCGAGTGTAGAAATATCCAACACACAAGCAT